TGGAAAAACTTAAGTTCAACGTCCAGCAAAATTAGAAAACGAAATAAATATTTGTTTTGTTATTATTCAGCATTATTTTCAAGTTATATTATTTTTATTTTAGTTAATCGTATTACCTAAAATAATAATAATATTATATATAATTTTACAGACTGTCTGTGATACATTAATGCTTGTGGATATGGGATTTGTTTTTTGTGAATAGTATTTAAGTTAATGTTGAAGTTTTGTCGCATTTCGGTTTCAGTCTGAATTTTCGAATATCGAAAAAAAAATTAGGCCGACAGCACATTTTGTTGTGTTGTTCTCTATCAATTGAAACAAAACAGTGTAGATTTTCATAAACCCAAATAATTTGGAAAGTTCTGCCAATTATTTATTGTAATTAAAATCTGCGTTAGGGCAACACGAAAACAAGTGCATACCCCGTAGCTATTAGACGCAGATAACGATCGTAGCGGGATCGATTCCGGCTCGTGCTGACCCAATGATACAGTTATCGGAACCGGATTGTAATAGCTATTTTAAGAACTATGCAGAGCACTTACACGTGTAATGCAATTTAGGTACCGTATTTATAGACACACAAAAACGGTGTGAACGACCTCCGAATCTTTTCATTGAGTGGAAATTCCCGAAGTAGTTATTTGAAAAAAGCACTAATTCTGACCAATTTAAACACGATTCATTAATTTAACCACAATCAGGCGTTTTTCTTATTCTTATTCGCGCCAACAGCCGTAAGATTTCTGTATTATTAAATATTTATTAATTTTACTAATACACTTGATTTTTACGTTTCATTTATATAATGGTTGAAATATTATATATTGAATGAACCTGCAACATTTTTAAGAGCCCTATATTTTTACAAAGTTCATAAGTCTGACTTCTTTTATACGTAGTCAAAAGATAGTTAACAAATTACCATCAAAAAACCTTCTATTTATACTGTATAGAGATAGACAAACAAACGCCTTTCAATGTCTACAACTTATTTTTTTCATTGCTTATAATTCTGTTAAATACAAAAATTGTGCTTTAATGTGTGTGAAAATTAATAATAAAATGAAACGGCCTAACCTTGGATGCATCTGACATAAGTTATTTAGTTCACTTCCGAATATTTAAGGTTGGCAAGATTTTGCACGTTGTCTTTATAGTCCTGACGCAAGTAAGTTTGTATATGGCCAAGTTTGAGTTACAGGCGTTAAAAATATTGTTACTGTTTTCGACAAGATCATGGTAGGTATACCTCCATGTAGCGATGGGCTTATCACTATTCTTGGACTGAAACCATTAAAATGGATTTAGCTGGAACCTGCCATACTCTTACATAAACTGCCACAGACCATTAAAAGAGAATAAGATCACTTGATGAAAATTTCCAATCACAAACCTCTAATTAAATTGGAAAACTTCGGGGGAATTTTTTTCTTCTTAAATACTGACCTATACTATTTAAGAAAAAAAAAATGTTTAGTAGAGGCGTAAACTCTTTTATCGACTTAAAACGCGAAATAGATTTGTTAGGTTATTTTTTTGTAATAAACTACGGCCCGCAAAGCATTTGAAACGTCGGACTGTAATAATATTAACAAAAAAATGTATCAATCTATTATGTTCAAATTTGTACTACTCTCGTAAGCTAAGGAAATACTTGAACGCTTGTTTAATGTAAGCAGAATATTTTATTTTTGTTATCAACGCCTAGATAGCATTATCGATATTAAGTGGTAACTTAGACTTTTATTGTTTGATAAACAGACAAAATTACTAGGAATACTCAGTATACAATAATTGGTATATTCGTTAACTTGTTCAGGTACATATTATTTTAAAATTAGCTTTCATATCCATAAACGAACGAATTATCAAAATTGTATAGCATAATATGTATTTATTACACTACCTTTCACGAAATATCTGGAGTGCGGAATCTATACAGTCTATACAATCTCAATAACACAATACCATTACAAGTTTAGTATAATGAGAGCAGTTTAACCTCTATAAATGTTTAATTTTACAGTCTTATACAGTGTAAAACGATTATTAAAAACCATTAAGTCGGTAACTACCTGAATCGATACGAAATTCGCTTATTAAAGGAATGTTTTTGTGAAACGATATGATCGCTTAAATATTTACGATTTTCATACGATTATTCCGTTAGAGCTTATATTAATTAATAAGCTATGTTATATAGCATTATATTGTACTATGTAAATCATTTTTACAACATCGAACGATTAATTTTGTAAGACTTTTATTTATCGTAGTACAGTTTATTACGAGTTTTTTTCCCCAGCAACAGCACAAAATCGTGGTTATCGCCTTCTAAGCCATATATGGCATTTTATAAAGCACTTTACTTTTAGTCAACTTGTAGCTACTTTTTATATGTTTATAACAGAATACCTGCTGAGCCCAATTCCTTTTTGGTCCATATGGACTTAGCAGCCTCTAAAGCTGTAATAAGCTAAGAGAATCTAAAATTATTGTCTAAAGTAAGTGGTTAGACACGAGATATAGGTTGTAAGCAAAAAGTAATAAACAACTTAAGTAGGCGCAGAAGTAAAAAATTAAATCTTTTATTACAGTAATAATATGTATACAATATATTTCTACCTGCTTTAAGTAAGAAAATGTATTATATTTTATGAAACAGGAGCACCGAAAATTATATCCCTCCTTTTAAGTTAGGAGCGGTCGCGATTGTCGTACCAAATCATTACAAAACTTAACGGTTCACTGACTTAAAGAAAACTTAGATTTAATTTTGAGCAAAGTCTAAGCATTGGAATGATTTAGTTCACGAATAGAAACGTTGGAAATTAAAGCTAGCAAAACAAGCACAAACGATTAATAAATATTAAATAATAACTTATATCACCGATGATTGATTGAAAATAATTATAAACGAGTCATGATAGCTATGCGGAAGGCAAAGAAATTGAAATAAAAATTAAAATAAATTCTTATTTATTACAGACATGCAAATAATATGCCTTATCAGTTTATATCTACATATCACGACAAGTAGGCTGGGTCTATCTTAACATACAAAATGATTACTTTATGCATGACTGTTGCTGGTAATGATATTTATATGTTGTTCATTATTTAATTTTTTCCCTTTTAATAGATAAAAAATAGCTCCCTCAGTCATAACATAATATGTATTACAAAGCACGCTAGCTAGTAATCAATGTAGAATTATAAAAACAATTTTTCATTTTGATAAATTTTATCTATATACATTTTATCCGTCGAAGCGAAAAAAATACTATGTATCTGTTTGCAAACTGAAAAGGAACTTTTATACCTCAAAGTATGCGTAATTTAAGATATATCAGGTAGCACAACCATTAATCAAAGTTATATGATGTTGTTAGTTGAATCTTCATCTCTCTTCGAAAATCTTATATGAAAACATGTGTGCAAAACATTAATCTTTGCTGACTGTACCTTAGACTGCGTCCCTGTTATCAATCAACAGTTAATCATACTTTATAACAGGTTATGAGAGATTATCCTACTTCGGTATGAAGAGAATTCAGAATTTGTAATAGATACATAATAATTATAACACAGACTTGCCGAACAGGTCTTTACTGTCAAAAGAGACGAATATATCACGAAATGGAAAATAAATAGATTAACTTATAATGATTGCGAAATTATATTAAAAACGAAAGTTTATCTGGAAAGCGATGTATGTTCGAATGTATCTTTCGTTACGATGAAAAGACTTAGCAGTTTTTAATGACATCTATGTTCGCACTCTGCGTCTCTCGTTTGTATCTTCTTACTATGTCTTTGTTATCTGTTAATCAGCATTTGGCAAAGTAAAATGCTTATAATGGTATGGTACTTAATAATGGGAAGAATAAAAGTCAGCAAATTATCGTATCGCTTATGACTTGGACCATACGACTAATTGTACATCTCGTATTTCATTAACTGTTCATAACTGTACTGGACACCGAACTTGCTACACTTTCTGACATCACTTTTAATTACTTTCGACAAGGCATGAATACTTTATATTGTACAAGAATAAGTAGGTATTATACGAAGTATAAAGTTTTCCATTGAATAAATTATGATTCGATTATCTGTAGTTTACGCCATTAATAAAGTATAAATTTAAATAAAATACAGTTCATAAACATAACATGACTAGGTAAGCCAGAGGACGCCGTGAGTAGGTTTGCGAGGACCCGCCTAGTTTCGCCAAATATCAACTATGAATGAACAGATGGCGCTACCGTAGTTTACTTTGACATGACACTTGTTCTTATGACAGACAGATGATCTATGCGTGTGGCCCATGCCCCGTGCCCCAATTATTGATACAGGATTTTGCACACGATCTTATTAGCAGAAATTTCATTAAAGGCCAATAATACCGCACTACATATTTCATTAAAGCGGAGAAACTGATGCCAACCACAAAATGCCGGATTTTCATACAGGATGCGTGATAATTACTGAAATGAATTAATTAAAAGTGGGTTTCACGTCAACGCGGAACCCCTTTACTTTTTGCGGTTAACTGTGACACACGGACAAAATTAATCCACAACATAAATATTATTCACATACACATTATCTACGTGTTGAGAAAACAATTATATGTTAGAGTTTTACTATTATATTTTAAGTAACCGCGATTAGGATAATAAATGATGAAAATTCGGTTTTATGTTTTTTGATTTGATTTGATTATTGAATCAATTTGAGTGAAACTTAACAATAGAAAAGTAATTACGAAAAGTAACGTATGATCACAAATCACAAATATAATGCAAACATTGATTGTGTTATTTGTATGTATGTTTAACTGACCAGTGTTTGTATGTCTGTTTTTAAGTATAAAATAATTTTATATAATTTTTTTACAAAACTGTTTTAAATGGTATACATAGATAATGTTATGATATTTATTATGACTCCATTCTTAGAAAGAATCAAATCATTTTCAGATATACATCATGTCCCACAACTGCAAGTCGACCTACGCAGCAGCGACGACGCGAGACGCCAATAACAACACTCTGTACCACAGCGGACCTACCCCAGCATTCGGAACTCGAGGGTATACTCCCCCGAGCGTTCCCAGCAAAGGGAACTATCAGGTATCTAATGTTTTCTTAGTCAACATAATCCTCCTTCCCAATAAATGATCAGATCAATAAAGTAATGGTTAATTAGAGCTGCGCCGGCGGTTCCGCGAAACCGGTTGAATCCGAGTTGATCTCATTTTTGACATAATGGTCGGCACAATGTTATAATTACTAAATGTGGAGCGACTTGCGGACGCCTTTGTTAAGGCGACGCTGGCTTAAGGCTACGCTTGTTCCACATTATATATAGAACCTTAAAAAAAAAGAAATTACGCGCTAAACTCGAACCCGTGACTGTCCGTGATGCCGTGTTTTTAATCTTAGTAAATAGTTGATAATCTACTGATCTATTGAGCTACAGTGATAAGCTACATCTGACCATATAACATATTATGACATTTGGAAGTAATTACATTATGCGATTTGTACCTACAAATACTCTTCGCGGAGTTCGATCTGTTCCATTTAGTGTACTGTAATTATTCCGATGACCCCCAAAATATGTAAAAGCGGGTGTATGTATGTAATAATTATATTTAAGAAAATATCTTAGTCGTCTCTTTGCCAAACAGTTTACGTTAATATGAGAGTTAAAATCAAGGCTAATAAGAGATGCCTTTCCCCATCGCCTTACACGGACCGGACCAATTTAGCCTTTTTCGACACTTTGATACAATTATTGCCCGCTCGAGAGCTGCGTTTAAAAAGAAACCCGCTTGTGACTCTTCAATTATACCTTCCTATTTCGACAAATAATTCTAGGAACATTACGGAATGGAACTTTGAACTGTATCTCACTGAACTATGTCTTACTGACCCACGAACATGATTACCAAATCTCATGTGTTATATACAAGAGAAAATTATACATATTTGTGTAAATAAATTGTTACAATCGCAGTTTTCATAAAAAAATACAAAAATTATATAATTAACAAACTTCATTGAATTCTACGCCCTGATCGATGCATTATATCTTGTTTTCCGACGAATCAAAACTAGGAGCTCTTGCGAGTATCTTTAGAGTAGGTTACATAGATACTTCAAATTAATTTTACTTCGAATTGTGTTTGTAGGCTATATGGAAGTTTTAAAGGCTGTTGCAAGTGTCAACCAACGTGTAGATAGCTTAAAACTGTTCGTCTGCCCTCCTGTTACATTATAGAAAGCATTCTACTCTTGGCCACTAATTTTTAGGAAATGCCCGAAGCGCTTAAGAAAACAAAACATTTGCTGAACGTGGCATAAAAGTAAATTCATTGGGCCATATACGTTGGCAAACGTTCAGAGGATCTTAGGAGTTCGCTCATTAGGGCTCGGCGGCACCGCGATATTTTCGTTCCTCGTAAACCTTCAAAAGAACGGAAATTTGTTCAGAAAATGCCCCAGAATTAGCGCCGGGGGAAACGTTGTTTTTCTAAGTGATGAACTCGTGTACTGCAAGTGGGTTTTACAGCTTTTTCTATTGATATTGGGGTCATAAAGGTTAATATTGCTTCTAATAGTAAATCACATTCTGAGCTTTCATCTGAAAAAGGTTTCGGTCTTGTTAATAAATATTTAAAGGTATCTCTGGATATATTGGAAAACGAAAAGATCGGGGTAAAGAGAAAGAAAAAATAAATGAGAAGTAAATCATTTTGGTGTCAGTAAATAATTTTGTTATTTACAATAAAAAATCGAATAAATTAATAATTGATAATTTTACATAATTTGTATAGCACTTTTGTTAGTGAAATACGCAAGCTTGCTAATGTCCCACTTATAAATATTATACGCAAAGTAGTTTAAAAAAGGGTGGATATAGATATTGTGTTATGCACCTTCTACGTTTATTTGTAAAAATATTCAAACAAACTTCTGCTGCACATAATATTTCACGTTTAAATTTGCTTACTACAAAAGCGCAAAGTAATGCCGGCCATATAAATAAGTCATTGAAGCGAATGGCCAATTAGTTGGAGGGCAACAAGAAGAATAGAGGGTATTGAGAAAAAGTAGGTTTTACATGAAGTTCAGTTATTTGCGGTGCGCCAGAACTCTGCTCAATTTGCGCCAGCCTTTATTTCAAATAGGTCGGCGTTTATATAGGCCTTTTTTTCTTTAATTAATTTTTAATGAGAACGTGTGAGTAAAATAATAACGAAAGGGCCGGAAAGGCTTTTAAATATCCATTTTATTTCAGCGGTTCATACGTCCCAACGATCCAATTAAATTTACTTCACAGAGAACAAATAGCCAACTTTAAAAGCCTAAATCGAGTTTTATATTCATTCATAGGAGTTAAATAGGCTTTTATGTAATCACCTAACATATGTTGACGACCTATCATTAAAAGCTGTATGTATCTTCTTCAAAGATAAGCCACTATCTTTTTACGAAGTTCATGCGCACAACAAAATGTTGCGGTTTACACAGACCAATGAATCAAACGATTGCTAATTTTATGAATTAAATTAATATTAATTATAATTACCGCATGCGTTCACTGTTATACTCGATTTTATTAAAATGTTATTACAAGACTAATTAAGACAGCATAGTTTCGATGTAATAGATTCTTAGATGTTTAATGAAATAACAATTAATTGACTATGAATACCTATGGCAGTAGATCATGTAGGTTGTACATTATTAGAAAATTGGCCAAGAAGTGCTATTCAAAATACATAATATATGGTATGCATTCTTGTATGAGAGAAAAAAATAAACCAAACCATATATTATACTCGTATACATTCTGCGATCTGCTTAGAGTTTGATGTTTAGTGCTGGACAACTATCCCTTCATATTTAGTAAGCCCATCATGTCGATCTAGCCTTAATAATCTATGCCCTTGTTAAGGCTTTGCGGGTTTGATCACATTCCCGATGTTTGTAACACTACTTCTGATTTAATAGACTTTGGTTGGCGTTTTTATTTAAATATTTTCACAGTTCAAAGCACCGCATATATAAATAATAGAATGCAGTTCTCTTTTGCTTCAACTAAAAGGCTGTAGGTTTGTTTGTTGTAGAAATAAATAAATAATTAGCGACGCGAGGTCTAATGCGTTTCGCGTGATTTTGCAGCAAGTGACAGCGAAAGTGCTCTTCGGCAGTGTGACGGCGATCAATGACCTCAAGCGGCAGGAGAAGGCGGGGCGCGAGGAACGGCGGAACCACTAGCGTCATCTAGCGGTGAGTCGACGAAGCTCTTCTCACTTAAAATATACATACTTATTACAATGTAGAATCTGAAATAATAAAACCACGCTGATAAGATTGAAACCTACATTTTTACTCTATCACTATAAGCTTAATATTCTATAGGTGTTAGGAAGTTTTAGAAGGAAACTTTTATTACTTCTCTCACTAGATACTTATTAATGCAGTACTTTCCTGCAACATATTATAAATGAAACAAGTAACACGACAGTCACTATACCGCTGTCTATATTTAAAACTTTTTGCTTCTTACCTGATCTTTACATTATTTACTAGATGGCGCTAGTCTCAAAATAAATAAAGGTATATTTTAATTCGATGTGAAAAAAAATTAAATTAACTACATTATAAAAATATATGAATACATATTTTAATAAGGACATAAAATAAATAATATTTATTTATTTGCAGATATTCAGTTGTGATACATATACAATGGAAGCTAAGGATGTGATCTCCCGAAAAGAGTTATTTTATGAACTATTTTTTGTTATATTATACACATACGACATATTTTAGATATTAGTATTGTGGCGTGCATTACAATAGGTATTTTATTACAGTCTTGTAGCTATCTATGCTAATATTATAAAGAGCAAAGATTTGTATTTTTGTATGTAACGGGTAAACTCAAAAAGTACTGGACCGATTTTATGTTATATATAAACTTAAAGAATAAGATTATAAAGCTAATATTTGACGTATGTCATATTTACTTTACGACGTTTATCGTTTTTTGACTTATGACTAATACACGATATGAAACAAACATGCAATGAATACTAAAAAATACTTATTATATCATTTATTTATATATTACGCATGTAATTAGTAAATAAAACTTTATTTTTCACGCCACAATCAATATTGTAGACTAAGAACAGTCTAATTAAGGTAACAATTTAATTGTATGGTTAAAGATTTTAATTAGTAGTTATAATTTTAATACTATTGTAGGGGACGAACGAAATTTATATCTCGTAACATAAATCTGCTTAAATCTTTACTTCTTTTAATATTTTACAGCTGAAAATTTTCTTCTTCAGGATCCTATTCGGTAACACCACGCTATGTCATTTGGCATTTGTGTAATTATAAATATATATCGATAAAGTACAACAATTATATTCAAAGAAAATAATTAGTTGTTTAACGGATTTGTTACGAAGCCTCTTTGTAAAGAAATACATTTTTGCACTTTTATATTAAAATGGTTTATGTAGAATATGTTTTATTTTAATAATATTTACAGACTGTGTGTAATCTACACGAGTACTACACATTTAAACATTTGAACGGTTTAAAACGAGAAATATATTAGTTAAACTTACTTACACATTAATTTACCTACGGTCTAACGTTTCGGATGCTTTGTAGCAGCCGTGGTTGTGGCCATGGTCGTCTCCCCTTTTAAAACCTTTTAAGTGTTTTTACTTAACCTTATTAATACTTAGTTACTTACTAGATTCGTAAGTAGGTCAATATATCGTCTAATGGCGTTATCAAGGCAACTACGTGTGGCTACTGGCAAGTGTCATCGCAATTTAACACTTGCGTTGTGTAATTCATGCGTACACGCAGCTGACTAACAGAAAAAACTTCACACAGAGCGTGAAACAAATAGAATATAAATACTCGAGGCCGATAATATGTCTTATGATTTGAAGGAGTTTCAAGATAAACATTATAATTGAATTTAATTTATTGAAATTTATCGAGTTGTTTGTAAGCGAAAAGTAATAAGACAAGTACATATATTTTTGTGTTGGTTGGAACATTTGTGGAGGAAGGCTATAAAACGCTGCGACTAATAGAATCAAAGAAACATGTATGTATGGAAAATGCGGGGAAGAATTTTGTTCTTTAAAGACTTCCCTTCTGAGCGTTGCGAAAACGTTCATCTAAAATGTAATTGTTCGCGACAGTACATGTCCATTTTTTTATTTTAACTCGCAAGAACAACGTATCATGGACACATTGTTGTTGTTGGATTGCGTACAGACTTGTGGCGCATACTTCGAATCCGTACGTTTAGATCATTCGCCATTAGTTCCCAGAGCGATAACCAGAAAACGCGTCCGCGATTACGTTTCAAAATTAAATTAAAGAGAAGTAATTTAGCGGCGACAATGAGAAGCGATATCTCATCATTAAAAAGGCACTTAAGCAACTTCACGGGTATCACAAATGACAAATCGAACCCGAGCCCAAACCGAGAACAAGAAAACAAGAATAATTGCGATTGCATTTTTTTCCGTGCTTTTTGTGAGAGGTCTTTAACCGGGCATCGAATTATGTGCCGCGATATCTAATGATTTAAGAGGCCGGACGCCACTCACACCGCGTCCGATGTTTTCCGAACTCAATTTTTAAAATACTGACTTAGAATAATTATGATATGTGTATTATTGCGTTAGAACTTTGCTGTCGTTTTAACGTCTATTCAATTATTCTATTCAATGTTTTTTTTATATGTATCACACCAGTTTGCTCGCTAGCGATACTTAAAGACAAGGTCAGACATAAGTTTGGTGGACTGAAACGGAACCCACATAAAATTTCAATTACTTAATGCTATATAGTACCGCGACACAATTGATGTCTTAAGACAGTTCATAATACTCATCTGACCGGATTTACAATAAAAATAAAAATAAAAGTTAACATTAAAGCACTAACGGTGTAACAAGCACCCGAGAGTCCATTTCGCTACAAAACAAGCACGCGAAGACGAGATCATCGTTCCGAGTTCTCATAACAGTACTTTTTCCATCCACCATTATGTAACCATTAGTCCTATCTGACCGCTCACCCGGGACTCACATCGGGAGACATCGATTTGCGTGTTATAATAATCGTATCTGAAAATAATCGATTCAAAACAGAATCGGATTTTGAGGCGCGTTCGTAGTGGTCTACCGGTTTCGATTTGATGTGGCTCAATTGTTTTTGTGGACTAGACGAATCTTAATATGGAGTTGATCAGGTTCGTTATGTGCATTGTCAATTTGACATTTAGTGTTAGCTTATTATTGATATAATTGGTTTTGTTTTTTATTTCTTCATTTTAAATAAATAAACAATCAAAACACTGTGTCCCCAACTCCCCGTGACCACGGCTGCTGCAAAGCAACCGAAACGTCGGGCCGAAGTTAAAAATCACTTTCAAATAAGTTTAACTAATATATCGCGTTTTAAACCGTTAAAGTGTTTTATTTAAACAATCAAAACGTTATTCGATTATTTCCGTGAGCATACATTGAGAAATAAAACTATGTACACACTCATAATTATTATACAGGTTTGAATATTATAGGTTTAAGATATATACATTTTCCCATCATTAATTGTTTGTATGAATACTTAAAACGAAAAGTAGATATAGACTCAAAAAACTTGATATGTAACGGCACGTTAATTAATCAGAGGTTAATAAATATAAGGCAGTATTAACCTACTTGCCCCTTAAATAGACTTCCTCGTATAATCACGATTAAGTAAATTATGTAAGCCGCCTTTAAACTTTCTTAGTGGGTGTCAATTTAAAAGCGATTCTAAAATAGAACTCATCTGCATCACATTACAACATTGGAGTAATTTGTATAATAACAACAATTTTCCTTCGATCTTCGAACTCGCGTGATGGCCGGTAGCTACAATCATTAAAAATGGTACCTTTGTGCATTTGCCAGACTTCAACTAAGAAACACCATGGAAATCTAGGGCTTAGTGGTTGTGTTCTCTTATTTGCTATTATATTGATCCGCTTTGTATAACACGCTTAGTGTTAGCAATTAACAGCGCGTGGGATGGTAATAAACCATCTTAGCTTATATCTCACATAGATAACTAACAATTATCTATGTGATACAATGTTCCACTTACCCTTTCATATGTAATACACATAGCTCTCTATGAGGCGTCCGATAATTAATTGCCATGGAATATTTTAAGAATTTTAGGGAGGGAGCAAATAAGGGAGTCTTGTTTGCCTGCGCAAAACCTGGCCTAAATGGAAGTTTCTTAGGAAATATACGTTGTAAAACTGTTCGAACGAAAATGACTTATTACATATATTTAGCTGTTTTAGATGTGAATAAGAAATCGTTTTCATTTAACACAAATATTTTATTATATGTAGTTGCGTAAATCCTTCATACCTAGCAAATTTGCTTCGAGTAGCCTCGAAATCCTTCATATACCTACCTACTCCCATTTTAACGGTGAATGGTTTTTCAACAGACTGGTTATCATCGGAATATTGACATTAACTTGCACTAGTTCTGGGGAAACAAACACCTCAACAGAAAACACAACGCACATTTGTCCATTCACAAGAATAATTGAGGATATTTTTAAAATTCACAAAAACAACACTGACGTTAGCCTTAAAGACGACGAACCCGCGAAACTATTCCTAGATGTGATAGATAACATGGACAGCTCAAATAAACAACTTCAAGATGAACTCGTAAACAACATAATTGAATCTATAAAACGAATCAAAGAAAGCATGACAAAAGAAACGCTAAGTGATGATTTATTAAATGAAGCTATTATTTTAAATGCAACAGAGAAAGATTATCATACAGACCAAAAACCGAGTGAATTAAAAACTGTCAACCACATAAGAAGCGGAATCGAAGAAAGATTTGATAGCACGACGGTAAATAAAAGCAACCACCAAAACACAACTAATTCCAACAACACAAAACAGACTTATACTAACAAGACATCAACCGGGTCACATTTCATAGAGATATTGACTATAGAACCAAACAATACATACGTCGCTAACGCTTCAAACAATAACATAATAGAAGTATTAAAGCATATAATGCCATTATTCAATACCACAGTTAACAAACAACTACACAGCATTACTATAATTGAGAAGAATGAAAATAAAAACCATTCTATCACAGAAACTAAGAACACATCGACGGTGGTTGTGAAATATTGTGATAAAGAAAATGTTACTAAAGAGAATGTGAAGTTAAACGATCAAAGTGATTACTTAGAGAGTGATTATGATTTGGACGAGCAGAACGATAGTAATGTGACAATGGAAGGAATAAGGGATATACTAGAAGCAGCGGAATATGGAATGCAGAAGATGAACGAGCTGTACACAGTCGTGGAACCCAAGTTGTATTCTATGGGTAAGAATCATCAGTTTTTATAAGGAAGATTTGTTTCACGCGTATTCAATGATTAAAATTCAATAGTCTAGTAATTTAATACTGTTGTTTTACACAATCTGTGGTTCTTATACACTTTAACTTCATTAAAAAATATATGTAATCTGTTGTTTTGATCTATGTGGCTATTATATATCCTTTCTCTCTCATTACACTAGTGCAATGGTTTAGAATTTTTACTTACTTTAACATTTAGTGTGCTTGTATTGTACCAGTTAGTAAGTTTCATTTATATAATTTGAAACAGTTACCATTATAAATCAACTCTAGCTACAATCATATTGAATGGCAAAAGACGTTTAACGACAAATAACTACTTCAGTTATTTGTTAGTTGACAGGTCTTGACAAGCCAAATGTTTCGATGCTTATGTCATTTTATATAATTAGGTTACTGGCTTGACGACAAAAGTCCAGCGCGCTACGTAGCTGCTTTCAATGCACCTTCCGAAGACCTCGCGAAGTACTCCCGATATGGTTACGCATCAATCCTCGCGGCTGCCAGACTGAAGGAAATAAGGTAAGTTCCTAGTGAGGATATTTATAAGACGATCGAAAATATCGATGTCATTTTGAAATTTAAATTGAACACATAATAAATATAAGAAAAACGAAACACACAACAACAAAGACAGCACAGAATTTAAATAGTTGTCAATAATTTGTATGTTTATTTCGCTGTACCCGCGACTTCGTTCGCATGGAATAGGGAAATGGGGTAGAATTTTTAATTATTTAGGCTGCTTATTAATTTATGTAATTGCGCATCGCAGCCAATCTATGTTGTGAGTGCCACTTTGCCGCAACACTCTCTTAAGATGAATAATAGAAAGCTCATGCAATAAAACTTATTATCAATAGGGATGGATCTAAATGAAACTCACATTCGGTTTAACCATACTTGCGCGTTGACAGCCGAGGTTCGGTTAAACTTGAAAAGAAATGACGTCTATTGTAGCAGTAAAAACTAGCTATTTGTATAGTCCTTATTGATTAGACTGATGCTCTAACTGACTGTATTAGTGCCCGCCAAAAACAAGACAGTCGTCTAACAATGGTGAGAAGTGTAACAATACTTTAGGTGTAAAAGGTCGGCCATATTTTCGTATCCGATTTTTTAAAGTCGGTTTCGTTTCTGTACATTCGCGCCATCTCTATTTATTAACATATTCATACAGTTTCGATCGTAAATCTGAAAATATTTAACTCGCGTTTAGGCTTTAGAATTAACTATGAAACATCCGGAATGTCCGCTAACGGATGTTAGCAAATACGTTTAATTTCTGTCTTGTAATAGATGTAATAAGTCACCGCGTATCTTATTCCTGTATTACTTCATTGCGTTATGAATTATTGAAGTTTATTTATATTTACTCGTTGACTAGTTGGTACTTTTCTGTCGTTCGCGATATTTCTTATCACTTGAGTGAACGTTTCAGAACGGACGCACAATATTTCTATCATCCACCTAATATTTCCCGTATGGTAGAAATATCGGAATTTCGAAGGCAGTAACCCGGGTCTTCATATTGAAAAGTAATGTAATTTCATATTGAAAATGGCTTAACAGTACGACGGCATTGTTTGAAGTAGGTTTGGAATATTTCATCTTCCATCAATTGAATCGCATGCTCGTCTGTCTCTCTGTCTTCGAAAGAAGGCGAATAATGTCTGCACAAATAACATAGATGAATTAAGAATGTAAAGGATCTCTTTATCTAAATAACGCAGTAACCTTTACCGGCGACATGATTCTATGTACAATAAATAACCCAACCGGACTACGGGTTAAGTATCGCAAAAGGTCAGTAGGATGTTTCGATCTGAAACGGAAGATCATTTGAAATGGAAATTAATTTTAATAGCAGTTAAATAGTTATATTTATATGAACTGGACTTCTTATGTTTATTCCGTTTAAGTAAATAATATCAATTTATAAGCACATAAAACATCAGATTTTCAGTAAATTAAATAAAGAAAGAAGTTGACTAACATAGTTCGCATTTAAAAATTGTTTTTATTTTATTTGTACTTCTCACGAAGACTACATACACACTGACAATGCATATAAATAGTGATTAGGTCTTAGTATAAAAAAGCTTTAATTTATGGTAAAAGAATAAGGAAAAATCCTTAAAATTTATACCCCACACTGTTACGCTTTTTTTTTAATAAGCACAAGTTATTGCCATAAATGAGCTTAATAAATAAAACCTTTTTCCTCAAACGATGATTATTTTAATCTTATAAATATAATCACGTGTTCATATATAAATAAAAATTATACATTTTTGACGCCCTTCTGTCCGGTAACCAATTATTAAGTGGTATTAGTAGCGTATAGTGATAGAGAAGAAAACGTTCTTAACAATTAGTATAATAATTTATAAAATATATATTTACTACTTTTAAATAAAACACTTTAACGGTTTAAAACGCGATATATTAGTTAAACTTATTTGAAAATGATTCTTAACTTCGGCCCGACGTTTCGGATCGTCTCCCCGTGACTACGGCTGCTGCAAAGCATCCGAAACGTCGGGCCGAAGTTAAAAATCATTTTCAAATAAGTTTAGTAGTATATATGAATAAATATATAATCCGGATAAGAAGTTGCTCCGAGAACAAAGCTTTGTTCTTGGGTTCTATAGCCGTCGAATAAATAAACAAATTTCATACCATCTTGTAACCGACTTTTTGTTATAGCGGCAACAGTAATAAATAGTGTATGAAAATTTCAACTACAACTTGGTACAGTGATTATGAAATAAAGCATGGCTTCGTTGGTTAAATTGTAACAATGTTTGGCTTATTATAAATAAGCAACGGGTCGTGGATTCCATACCCACCCGCTTTAATCAATTTATAATTTCTCTGTTGGACTTTGTCTTAAATCTGGATATTAAATGTGTGCTTGGAATATCCAAAATAAGTCAACTCTTCCTCTTGTATAGATGATATAGGATTGGGGTACACATCACCTGCCAATAAGTAATGCTCGTTTTTCTCTTCTGCGCAGTCTCCATAATGGGGTACCGTATTATTTTCCAGGGGAACCCCAAAACCATATATTTTAGGAGTTTGCATAAAACCATCCCTCAGCATAATGAGCATGAGTTACTTTGCAAGCTGGCAACACGGCGCAGGAAATGGCTCATCTCGGGAGCCGCTTTGACCGGTGTTGCCAGTCTACTGCATTGATTAGAAGGGAATGCCTTACGTGGAGTTTATGAAGACATAATGGTAGTTTCCGAGCGGATTCATAATTAAATAATGTTACTATCAGCTATTTTTATTATTTGAGTTGCGTTTTAAGTTCATCAATCGTTGCATTCAAGTATGAGATCATAAGTTTGACTCCTTTTTCGTTAGAATAAAAACTTCGAACTTTGATAATTCTCATCGGGTGTCAAAAGATTATGTAAAATCAATATACTTTATTGATTTTACATATTCTTATAAATTGTCAAAGTAGACATCGCAAAACAGATTTTGAATTCCTTTAAAAAAATGTACTTACGAGAATAAAAAATACATATATGGATGTAGTATTTATAGATTGTATATTTTTTTCCCGCGTTTACTCAAGGACGTGTTATTTAAGTTAAGCAGTACAATGTAATGATCTCTTTTGATAATACGATAAAATTGAAAACAAAGACTCGCAGGCTAAGGAGCGACATTGACATCAAATAACTATTTGGCTGCTTTAAAGGTCTCAAGAATTGGAATTGGCGAGATAGAGAACTTACATGCGAGTGGCAAACGCCAAAAAGTCGCTCCTCGACGCGGATAAAACACTCACTTCTTTGTCTTTAAATATTTCCCGATGCTAAAAGTTCGAAGCAAATTAATTACTATCTATAAATTAAAATCGGTTCCTCTTTTTATCTTAAATTTGACGGCGACGGAAAAGGAGGTCTCCATTCGGTTCAAACATGTACTTTTCACGTTTATGAGCCAATTTTATCATATTTTTTTATTGGATTATATTTTCAAGTTGGTTCTATTTTAAGGAAATCACCCGGCACCAAATTTTACAATTGTATTTTTAAAATATTTACTAAATAATTTCTATTTAACCAAATCAGAATACGTATTACTTTGTACGACGAATTCTTTCTAGTTTATTCTTTGAAGTCGGTTATTTGTATTGTTATTTGTATTGTTAAAAGTTATTAATATTAGCAATTTGACGTTCTTTCTTTCAGCCATTTTTTAAGGGCCGTAAGAAAAAAACACAAATAAACGCTCGTGTATATAACGCCTTACGAAAATTGCGAAATTCGACATTGTTGTTGGAACGACCGATGACTGTTCATAAGGTTGATGGATTGGTCTGCGCATACAAATCGCTAGAGGCTGACTCTTGGTACAAATAAAGCATCGCATTGAGTTTGCAATGAACTTTATTCCTCGGCGATTTGTCCTTTTGCACGTACTTACTTAATAAAGTTCTAATGTAACATTTTACGTTATATTTCATATTCTAAAGCTTGTAAACCAAACTGAAAAAGATTATAGTTCGAGCTTAATGTAGGTAAAAAGAATATTTTCGGATCGATATAAAAATCACATCTATCCGTGCTATCAGATACAGTGGCTACGCTGTAGTTGAAATTGTAACCCTAAAATTATTTTTAAATTCACTTCCTCTTTATAGAAAAAAAATAATTGTAGTATCATCTCAATGAAATTTTACAACTTTGCTGTATACGTTTATATTTGCTTAAGAGCCTTTAATTTAGTCAACTATACTTGAATACGAATATATGATCTTTCTTTAGAATATTACCATAATTCTCTTACATGGTCCCCTCCTAGTTAATGTCTCTGCGTTTATCATAACAACTCAAACGAGTCTGTCGCCGCAAGCGCAGTTTCCTGTCTTGTTTACTTCCACTTTCACGGTAGAAAGCCGCGGAACTTGATTCCACTATCACATACAATTGCCATTCGACTTATCAAGTACAAATTATAATCTCAAACAAGCCACCAAAATTATAAATAAGTATGCCGGGGTGAAAATAAGTCTTTCCGTGACCACGGCTGCTGCAAAGCATCCAAAACGTCGGGCCGTAGTTAAAATAAGTTTAACTAATATATATTGCGTTTTAATCCGTTAAAGTTTTTTATTTTAATGTGTACTACTCGCGTAAACTATAGACAGTATTTAATAACTTGACCCTTTTAATTAATGAGACATATTTTTAAAATGTGTATCATTGATTATATAATTATTTATATTTGAATTAATGCCAATTCAAATAAAAATATATCATTAATAATAAGATTTTATATATTGTTCACAGTCCCATTATTATTTGTTTTTCATAACGGCAGATTGTTAGGGAAAAAGCACAAAATAAACTAATTACTGTTATTTTCCAAGCACTTCTTTAATAGTTTGCCTGGGGTTTGAATTTTGTATCAAATTATTCCTAACTTTCTAAAGTAACAAATCATCGACTCGCAACAGTAAAATACATATCTGCTGGCCGGCGATCTAATCACAGTTTTTGTCGTCCATCTACGTCGAACGACAGTTACACAGTTGAACCATCAAGTTTCCATGAAAGTGTACAGAAGTCCTTATTAGTTATGTGGTATCGAAAGCTATAGAAAGCCAGCACAAATCAACTGGTTTTATTATATCGCGGAGCTTAACCGATCACTGTAATTTTAGATTATTGGCTTCAGTCGAGAAAAGTCGTGTTTAACATTTAATACGGTGGCGACACTCCTTCAGAGAAACTCATTCCGTTTTATAGGGAAAATATAAGTGCAGCTTTTCTCTTAATAAAGTTTACTATTACAGTGAGCATCAATTTTTCTAACCTAAGATACCAGTTTGTTCATTAATATTAAATGTTAGTTTATGCGGAATATCTTATAGATTTATTTATTAGATAGATGGATTAAAATATTTCATAATACTCACGAATATAATATATCAATATATTAAATATAATAATTAAAATGTTTATTTCACCACAACCCGGTCAGCCTGGAACTGGACTTTGTTTATTTGAATATTTTTTTGTGGATTTAACGTTTATGTAAACTTTTCCTTCTTTAGCGAGCAACACTGTGGTGAGAGGGTGATAACTTATGTACATACTTACTGGTATACATCCGTTAGATAATAAAACCTGGCTCATAAAAAAACATCATAATATGTACTTGTCATATTCCGGAGTCTACGTGAACAACTTACTCGCTTTTTGCTCATTAAGTCAAGTATATTTTCGTTATAATGTTATCGTTACGCCACAGTTCACTGGTGAGATTTGATTAAAAATAATGACTTCATATTTTGCGAGTTTGTGCAATAGGGCATACCTATCTCAGGCAAACAAAACATTATAAGTCGACAACACATAATATGTTATAATTGGGATGTATTAGAAGCACCGAATGTATCTTTGTTAATAAAATTTGCAGAGAATTTTTTTCTTTGGTTTGGCTCATTGGTCTAATGCTAGGCAGAGTATTGCAAAATTCTTGGGTCAATCCCCACTGGATTCAACATATTTCTAATCAAATTTTTTTTTTTTTGTTTGGGAATCTAGATATTAAACGGGTGATAGGCATATCGGAAATACGCCCTGGTCATAAACTACTGTGCACAGATAAAAAATAAATGTGAAATTTAATCGTATTTCAGTTTTAGTCTATGGATTTTCCATCAAGTAAACCGCTTCTTTGACTTCTGTCATCTATCATAAAAAATACGTCATGTTAATACGCGACTCAAGTTGATAGAGCCTGCTTCTGACTGTGTACTTAAATGTGTTTGATTAAGTTCTTACGGAGGCAAACAAACAAAGAACACCCTGTACGCTTATGTAAATAAAAAGGAAAGTGTGTTGTGAAAGCGGACCTTGCACTTGAAAGCGAAACTGCGCTCTATCGAAACGATACGACGGCCTTCCGGATCGTATTATAGGGTGATCCATCGCTACAAGTTTAGTGATATAAATAAAATTAAATTTCCATTAAACATTAAAATTATTTAAAAAGTAGTGTTCATTTTTAAGTCGATTGTTCGACTCGTACTTACGTCAAAACATCGTAATGTATTTTATAATTAATTTTACCAAAAACACCTTCGTTAGCTTTACAAGCTTTATAATTCTAAAAGTGTAATCAGTCTATTCTATACTATAAATAAAATACTATAAACGGTCAACGGCGAAATATATTAGCTAACTTATTCCTTTCTTTTTATTACCCCGATACCCCGAGTCGAGTTAATCTTAAGATTAAGATGGACGGTGTACAAAGTCAAATTTGCTACGTAAATAATATTTGCCGTTTTAAGCCGCTTAACATATTTTATTAATATATGCTGCTTGCATAAAGAACAATGATTTATTCCAGTTCGTTTTTGTCTTTGTCAAGAAATCTTACAATTTGTTGCCTTCTAAAATATATGAAACCTTATGTCCACAAGTTAACATTAAGTGTACATAACAAAGGTTCTTTGTAGAGCACTATCAGATGAATACACCTTTTTTCAAGTCGGAGATAGCGCACTCTCCCTATTGTCTCGATAACAATGCCTAATATCTTCTATTGTAATTAATTTAATCTTTTAGAAAATTATCTTTACGTTCTATTCATGTAACGTCATTGTTTCAGAGACATACAGGGAACTTAAATTTCTAATTAAATGTTGTTTATAATGTGACCGTCTCCATGTTCCAATTGAAAAATTCCATACATTGTTTATTATTGTTATATTGTTATTCGAATCCAGGAGAAGGTTAAAAATAGCATAAATCATTACTTGCTTGTATGTAAGACCTAAACAACACACAAATGTGTCCTGTCTCTCAGAAGACCATACCTTTTTAGCATATTTTTTATATAATACAACTAAAAAATATGAGTATGTTATAAAAGGTAACAATTTCATTAAAATATAATAATTACATGCATATATAAATATACATATCCTAATAAATAATTCGATTTTCCTTATAAATGCATGTAGATGTGTTCTGTCGGTGTTGGGATTTGATTTTTTTTTTTCTGCTATGAAATTTTAAGTAAGTAGAGGTAGATCTCTATACGTGCAAACAATTGTTCTTATTAGCGCCTACATTAAGTACCACCACACTGCATATCAACTTCATTCTTCATATACAACATGGATTAATGAGTTAATTGCCATCACACCGAACAAGCCAATTTCCTGGTACACATGACGCAAGACCTTTGTTTCATTCCCAATCAATACGGTTCGGTAATATCGCAATGCCATAAGAAGCCGTTAATTATGCGAACTACCCACACTTTCCCCAAGTTTCGTTCCGAACTCAATTCTCACAATTGTGTGAGAGGAAAAACGATAACCCGGTTTTCGTATTTTCCTAACGTGTGGAAATCTTTTGTGATTCGTTTCGAAATCAATCGATACTCGTGTATTACTTCTCTTTGGTTCTCGCATGACTTAGTGACGTTATTATGCTTTGTTGCGGAAATTGTAAAAATTACTAGGTTGAACCCTTCTCTCACTCTTTTTATTGTGAGTTACAATTACATAAAAAATAAGCACTTTAAAATGGCGAGCAAAACGATAGATTTTTTTTTATTAGATCATTTTAATATTAATATAGTCAAAGTCTAGATAAATATCGTTAATTAATTTAAATATTTTTTATATTTAAAATCTCTACTAAATATAAAGCTGAAGAGTTTGTTTGTTTGAACGCGTTAATCTCAGGAACGACTGGTTTGAATTGAAAAGTTATTTTGTATTGGGTAGACCATTTATCGAGGAGATCTATAATAATAATAATTCTTTGTTTATTATCTAAATATTGTATGATCTAAAAAAAGCCTACGCCGCTATATGTCTATCTTTTAAGATTAACTTAACACGCCGCAACAACGTCGTGGGTAACAGCTTAAGTTTAAGAAGATGAAAGAGTGCAAAAACAAATTTGGATACCTAAAATAACTATTATACGCGGACGACTCAGCTAGTTTTTTATATAACAACTCCAAAGGCAAAATTACGTCTTAATTTAGATTAGAGTAGTGTATTATTTTATGCAATGTTAATGGATTTAAATTTAGAAGAGAATAAGATTTAATTGAAGAAATATTTAATTTTTAACTTTTAACGAATTTTAATCATTTATTCAAAGTAACTACATTCATTCATTCTACCAGGACAACCTTAAAGCAGAAATATACGAAAAGCTAGACATGAATACTTTTAACCCTCAAGACATTTATGAACTATATTATACTAAAAACCTGACTTCGATAAAAACAGACACTTATATAACAAACCGTCTCGTCCACATTTAGTTTCAATCTCAACATAGTGCGAAGTGATTAAGTGAAAAGAAGTTAATCAATCAACACGGTGTCCTCATGCGCATCACGTCACACTAATGACTTATGAAATATTACATCATTACCTAGAAACATTACTGTCACGGTAAAGCTGAGTCTACAGTGGGTAGAATTTGATTTATAATCGTGCGCTCGGCTAGTGTGAACGTAGCTTTATTCTTAAATTGCATACTTCATTTAGTTCTAGTTGAATAATGACTTACAAATATAAAGTAAGTCCAATGATACCTAATACTTAAATATAATTTATGCTTTCTTGCAGTTATATTTAACAATGACTATTATATAATACAATTAATCTTCCAACTAAGATACTGCATAAATTTTTTATGACAACTAAAACCCAGTGTATCTCGAGCTTTATAGCAAATGTGGAAAGTGTCTTATCCGAGCACGTTTTCCGGCTACAAGTGACGACTCATTAAGTCTCGATGCTTTAGACAAACAAACACTTAGTCTTTTACATTTATATTGTTACTTACGTCATTAATGTGCCTTTATTGAATAGCTTTGTGTGTTCCCGAATATACATGTGACAAAAACAGTAAAATGTTTTAAGAAATTTTATCTTCATATACATAAAAAAAGTTAAATCTAAGATCTATATTATATACAAGCTATGCCAGGGACTTCATTCGCGTAGAATTTGGGCATCCAACTTTCTTCTTGCAAACCTCCTCCTCATCTTAATCAATTATAGCAGTTACCCACGACGCCAGTGGCGCCCCCGTTCTTGCACGTAATTTTAAAAGATACAGATGTACTATGGCCGACATTTTTTAAGATCATTTGATGGATCATTCTTTCATACATATGTTTTGGGTATCCCGATAAATGTTCTAACCTACACGAAAATAATGTTTGAGGTCGAACCGAAGTTCCTGAGATTAGTGTATTCAAACACAAAGATTTCAGTTTTAAAATATTAGTACATATGTAAGGTATAGTATAGTAAAAGAATTTTTCGATAACGATATATAATATCTCAATATCAATCTCTGTATGCAAAACAGCGTGCCGGAATCTGGGATTTTTGCTAAGACAGACAAGGGATTTGACTAGCATGGCAACCGTGAGAGTATTGTATCATGCATTGGTTAGAAGCCATTTGGATCATAATGCAGCAATATGGGCACCTCACGAAGAAAAATACTGTGCTATGTTGGAAAAAATTCAAAATAAATTTATAATACATTTATATTTTAAAATGTACGGGATTTATCCCTATTATCCTCTTTGTGCTAGGAATGGTGGGCGACATTAAGTTGAGAGAAAGAAGGGATTTTGCTCTAGCTGTTTATATCATTAAATTATTAAGAGGGAAAGTATACAACATCGGCGTCCTAGGCATGTTATGCATAAACGTGCCTGACTGCTATAGGTACAAAAGACACGCGCCACCTCTTCTCGTGGTGCCTTTTGCTAGAACGAACTTAATGGCAAAGGCACAATGGACGAGGACTGTCGAGGTCCTAAATGTATTGCACAAAAAAGCAGATCCTTACAGTCCTTGAGGTGAACTCACAAATACATTAAAGTTTATTTTCAGTTACGAAAGATAGTTTTGGTTTAAGTTCATATATTTTTGTTCTATCATGTATATATTGTTTAGTTTTTTTAAATCTCTGTCGCATTGGATTCAATTTCTTATGACAGTGCATATATGTTAACATTAAATAAAATAAATAAATCTCTGAAACCTCAACAACTCGTGAAAGCAACTAAAGAAAAGTCTAGACAGAACAAAACTACTGAGTAGAAAGTAGGTACTTAATTCAGATGTTACCTATGTCTGAATCTCCTCTCTCTTATTGTGTTACAGAGGTGTCCAACAATTTAAAGTTTTGAATATTTAATCAGAATTAACAGGGGTTAAGTGTGAACTTTTTAAGGCATTTTTTTTAAATCCCATTCTATTAAAGAAACTTTGCATTAAAAAACCTCGCACAATACTATTAGAATATATTTTTTTAACCAACGTTGCTAGTAAATTTATTCAATTCAGTGATTAAATTTTTAAGCCCCAATAAAGGTTGGCGATCTCTAAGAATTTTTTATTCATTCACTTTCGCTGATTACTAAATAATTCCGAATATTTATTCGGTCGGGCAGAGGCAGGCAGATGTGAATGACCTTTCGCATACGGGTTTTGGAAGACTTTTTCTGTTAGGCCGTGTGCTTTCGAATACACGCCAAGCCTACACCATTATAATGATTTATATATGCTGAATTTCCAAGATTGATTTTCTATAACTGTTTTAAATGCAAAAGATCTCATCTGAACTATCTCAAATTCAATCCTTTTATTTAAAATAAAAAGAAAAAAAGATTATTAAGAGAGAGAAGAGCTAACATGACTGAGTAGCTACATCTTACTTTATTGTTTTGTTTCAAATAATGGTTTAATTCCATGTTCAATCAAAATAAGGCGTAATTAAGCTGTATTAAATAGATATTACAAATTGCACAGATCATACATAACGTATGATCTGTGCAAAATAACTGTATATCATAGATATAACGGCCGACAACGTGTCACAGATCAAGTCACCATAAAAACATAGATTTTATTGTTTTACGTAATGTTCAGCAATGGTTATGGACGGACAGACAGAACGTAATAGTTATAGTGTTTGAATCTTGTAACCGCTCTGACGAAAACTTACGGGAATTGCGAGACTTTTATTGTTTTTCGATCTTGTCTTCCGCGAAATGGCTCATTTAAGGCGTCGCGTACTACGCACAATTTTGCAAGAATCTGTAGCGTTTTTCTGTAGGTAAATACTTTTTACTATAACACACTCACTCTTAGTCAAATTTGTTTCATCATAAACTTTCAGTTAATAAATGAGATAAGTCGGTACTCAAGAAAGTTTTAAAAATTCAGTGTTAAAAATTATACGAATTTTGGAAAATAGATGTCTCTTAATTTTTTTTTTCAAATATTTAGTTATTAAAACAAACTTCAATCAGATATAATTAAGTTATTTGTTTTTTCTTTTTTCTTTGTACAACATATAATATATATATTTGATACAATACAATACAAATATTCTTTATTGTCACAAAACAAAACAACAACAAAAAAATATAAAAATCGATGGAAATTAAGGACAAGCGGCGACTTTAAAGCTAAGTAGCTATCTCTTCCAAGCAACCGTGATGGAAATGAAAATTCAGTAATAAAAAAGGATTGCGTGACAGCAGAAAAAGACAACCTACATACTAAAACTAATAATAAACAATAATACAAAATGAGCTTAACCTAAAAATCATTAATTACTATCTTAACTAAGTTACTTTATTAGGCATAAATAGTGGGACTTGACAAGATTCTTGAAGGAAGTGAGATTCTGGGCTTTTCTTACATTAGAAGGTAAATTGTTCCAAAGTTTTATAGCTCTCACATGAAAGGATGAATTATAGAATCTAGTTGATCATGACTAAACAAGAAAAAGCCATTTCAACTTTTAATTGAGTTGTTTGTTATATTAAAAGATAGTGTTTACGGTGGTTAGCTTCGACTTTTACTAGGAAATAGTCGGTTACACGCAAACATGAACACCACTAATATCAAGTTCATTAAACTTATCACTCACTATCAATTTCATTCCTTATAATTTCATCGACACAAATTTAATGAGATTTTTGCAGTTAATTAAAAGTCAATTTTAATTATTGTTCAAACGTTTAGACATAATACATAGTTAAAAATTTGTTTACTCTATTCTTTCTACGACCATAATACTAGCTTGTCGGGGAAAGTGTGTTATATACATATACATATACTGTACAACTAGTTTGTTTTTCGTTAAGTTAAGTTAAATATATCTATTCTATCTATCTTCTATCGTCAGAAAAATAAAAAACACTGTCTTGGATCTTCAGGTTTGCAACATCTTTTTAAGTTAAGGTATGTTTTAATCAATTAAAGTTTGTTACAAAAGCGCGAAAATAAACAATGAGTCAATAATTTCACAAATGTCGACCAACCTGACCGACGAAATAGTTGTTGGCATTTTATTTTGCAATTTGTTTTACTCTAAAATCTATAAAATCACGTTTAGTTAGGACACTTTTGTAAACAGCACCTTTTTATCGACAAACATCACTATTTTTGTTCTTACTGGAAAACTATTGTTCATTTTATTTACTTACATTTTTCGCCATAGTGAAACGATTTGATTTTAACACAATGAGATTAAAAGTCGATTATGAATTCAAAAAAAAAATACGACTCAGGCAGGAATCGAACCGTCATCCACAGCGTTCCGTGCCCTTGCCCTCAAACCTTTATTATCAGTTTTTAATGTATATAGTGCTATCGTATGCGATAACATGTGAAAAATATTAAAAAGTTTTCAAAGAATAAGATTTTTTCATTTGCAATTTTTTATCTCTCAAGTTTATAAAAATATTTCTTAATCTAACAAAGAAACGTTAAAATAATACAATTATTATTTACATAAATCATATTCTTTAGTCTTTAAGGGATATCAATAAACAAATCTTAGCAAAGAAATTTCAACTTTTAATCTTCTCAATGAAAATTAATTTGTTCCACAAATTGCAGTTAAATTATTAGACTTGACGCCGACTTACTGTTTGTAAACGTTTACGAAACGCGCCCGTGGAAGTGGCAGTATTTGAGCTCGCTTCGTATTTTCCGGCAGCGCAGTGGCGCGCGCGCATCATGGCGACATCACGCTCAATGCGCGGGAAAATCCGCGCTCTAGTCAAATTAAAGACTGATCGACTCTGACTATTATTTTTGTTTTGACTATTAACATAAAACAACGACATGTGACTGATATTTGCATAATTGTGTAATTGTGCTCGACTGTTTTTGACTAAGTACTACTATTGATTTTTGACAAGTGACATTGACTGGATTTTGACAGGATTTCCGAAAAGGTCAGTACTTAATAAAACTATACTTAAGTTATTTGAAATCATTGTTATTATTACTTTTAAATATTTTAAACTAACATAAGCATTGTCTGCAGTTTAAGCAAGCATTTAAATAAAATACTTTTAACAGTTTAAACTCGAAATATAACTGTTACTTAATTTATTTTTAATTTAATGCGACCACGACTGCTGCAAAGTATCCGAAATCTTAGGTCGTAGTTAAATAAAATTTAAAATAAGGTTAGTAATATAATTTGCGTTTTAAACGATTAAAAGTATATTATTTCAATACATAAGCATTCTTAAACAAGTCTCATTTTTAAATAAAGTCCGTTTTGATAACAGTTTCCTAATTTGTATCAAGTTTATCAATGGAATATATCTATTTAAAAAAGTATTTATACATTTTTTATTCTGGCCACACATCACTATTTATTCTGACTATAAAATTATAAAAATTAATAACTTAAAAATAATAACGCCGCTAGTCTAATAAGATTTTAAAAATTTACTAAGTGATAATTTTTAATTTCATATCTAAACTTAAGTTTATTGATCTTTAAATAACTTTGAACTTAAATCTAATAATCGTAGATACACACTTCTACGTATTAAACACAATTTTATGATGTAATCATAATAATTCATCATAATATTTAAAACGATCAGACGTTATTGTCATTTAAAAAAAAATAGTAATGCGGTAAAATATTCTATCGTACGATTACATATTACGTACGATACATTATACATATATGTATAATGTAACCTTTTATTTCAAAACCTGAATACCCCAAAGACTAGATTACCGCATTAATTCTCTGCCAAGCTCGTGGCGTTACGAAACAATAGTTGGCAGAAGGACGCCATATATGACCTTAGGCTACGTGCGAGGCATTTCTGCACCCGCGTACAGCGAAAGCAGTTTCGCTTTCACTCGGGTCAAATGAGCTGACAGGTGTAAAATAATGGCCATTGATTATAGTGAAACTGATCAACAGAGTGAATATATTTCCACTTAAGCATTAACTTCATGCTTCGTTGCCCAATAAAATTAATTCTCTATCTAAGAAATATCCGGGTAAAGAAAGTCTCTTTTGAAGTTTTGACAACAAAAATGTATACTGACAAATTGAGTAGTCATTCTTTTGAAAACTTTTTTTAAGTCCGAATCGTATTTTTTTTCATTTAGAAATGAAACCTTTATGAATATACACTTGCACGAGATTCCATTGTATTTTAAGGCAATAATTATATCGTATTGACATAGCCTAGCTGATATATAATAGGTATACATCAATTAAAAAATATTATCAAAGATATAAAACAATAACATTGACTTCCTTATATAAAAGACATCAACGCGCGCAACTCTCTCACAGTTTAAGGAGATACATTTTCCTAGTGATTTAAAACAATTACACAAGAATCTTCGCCTTGAATGCTTTTTTATTAAATGTTTCTAACTTTTAAAACTATTGTATCGCGGTATAAATGACAGTGTCATATTTGTGGTGTGCCCGTCAATATTTTATCTTATTTGAGTAGAGAAGTGTCAATGTGATTAGGTAATCGCTAATTATAGCGGCGAAGTATTTTTTACAGGTTCTCTAATGTTACGTAAACAGACGCAAGTAATATTATTTTATTAGTTATGTAACGAAACACGGCGGAGAAAGCGCATACTTCTTGTCGGACATTTAAAAACATATTTAGATATGACGATTGTTGTCTAACGACTTTTATCGGTTTTTAAAGACGGGGAAAGTGTCGTTTGAAGAGTGAACGCCTAAGCAGTTTTATTATATATACAAACTTAACTAACTTTTTTCATTATTAACACTTTTCAATGACTAGGAATTTTAACTTTTTGAGCTGTGTTTCGGTCTGTTTATATTAAAAAAAATAAACCCAATTAGGAAATATCATCTTTATATAATAACTTTAAGAAACTATAAAGTATGTGTACGGAGTATTTATTTGCCTAAATTTCGGAAGTTTTTTTTTAATATTACTACTGTGTAATATTTATATAATTTCTCTTTGGCAGTGGCGATTATCCGGAAAGTCGTGTGGACGAAGTTAAGTTCCCAAGCGTCAGTGCACTCCGTCAGTCCCCCCTACTGGAGCAGTGCCCGCTACGAGGACCGCCAAAATGCCCACCAGCTTCCAAGAGGTGAGCATTGTTAATTAAGAAACAAACAAATCAATATAGTACTTATTAGGTAGAATATACCAAATAATTTATTATGTACCAATGATGAATTAAAATGAGGTTTTAAATTTTTCACTCAGATACCGGACTCACGATGGCACATGCAACAATGTAAACCGTCCCAGATGGGGGTCAACCATGACCCCAGTTCAACGTTTTCTCCCCCCTGTCTACTCTGATGGTATCCAAGCCCCGAGAAGGTCAGTGTTTGGATCGTTCCTTCCATCGGCAAGAGAAATCAGTGCTTTGGTGCATGAGGACCAAAACGTTGAGAACCCCGGGATTACACATTTGCTGATGCAATGGGGACAGTTCTTGGATCACGATATGGTGTCGTCATCACAATCTCGCGGCTTCAACGGTTCTGTGCCAAGATGCTGTAAAGACGGAGGCAGAGATTTCATACCGAAAGAATTCTTGGTAAGATACATAGGGTTTAATTAGAAAAAAATCACTTAATTTTATTATTACATTTGTTAATTATTATTATTAAATCAGAGATTGTTTTTCTGGAAATAGACCAGTGCCTACTAAACCATGGCCCTTACTTTCTTTTTATCCTTAACCATCTAATTACTATAGCTCCTATATTGTCTGTATTTTATAGATATTTAATTTCATACTAAATGTACGAGTAATAATTATGTGTCCCAAAAAGTAGTCTGATAAAATCATAATAATTTTGCAGCACCCCGAGTGTATGCCCATAGCCGTCCCGCTATCTGACCCATTCTATGGTCCCCGTGGCGTCAGGTGTCTGGACTTCATCAGGTCATCGCCAGCTCCACAGGAAGACTGTCGCATAGGATGGCGCGAGCAAATCAACCAGGTGTCAGCGTATATCGATGGATCCCCAGTTTACGCAAGCTCAGCGAGGCAGTCTGACAATTTGCGATTATTTAGAAATGGTAAGAAGTCATAAAAATATTGACTTAAAACCCAAAAAACAATGCTAATATTTGTACTTGTTATATTTTCATCAATATTCTATAACACACTAACACTACCTGTGTGAAAAGTAATAATTAAAAATATTTAACTAAATACTTTCAGGTATGCTTCAATACGGTCGCGTTCAACAGCGTCGTCCATTGCTACCGACCGATAGGAAAGACGAGCTCTGCCGTGGAGGTGCTGTGTCCACAGATTGCTTTAAGTCTGGAGACGGCAGAGTCAATGAACAGCCGGGGTTGGTGGCCGCTCATATAGTGTGGTTACGGCAGCACAACAGGTGAGTTCTTCAATTGATGTATAAGTATTATATGTAATGAGAACCTTGTAATTTGTACATTTTGTATGATTTTCTTGTAACTGTATTATTTTATTACAGAATGGCAACAGAACTGTCCCACTTAAACCCACACTGGAGCGACGAAAAGATTTATCAAGAGACACGGAAGATTGTTGGTGCCATGATACAACATATCACCTACCGGGAATTCTTACCAATTATATTAGGTGATTTATTCGATCGCTTACTTTGTACCCACCGCAGTAATAACTTTCAATGCAATGCGAATTATTAAGAACGTGCTTGAAATAACCCGCTAGAACTAAAATTAGGTTATGTTTTAATAATTATAATTTATCTTGTTTTAACCTTTAGTTTGTTATAAAAATTAAAATCCTATTTAGATTGAAAACATTCGAAGTAAGATTTGTCTTTGATTTTTAACATTTTGATAGATTTTTAATTTATTTGTTTTGATTTCAGGTTCGGAAGTAATACGCCTATTCGAGTTGGAACCACAAAAGAAAGGTTACTACCGCGGCTACAACCTTAAGATTAACCCGAGCCCCGCAAGTTCGTTCGGATCAGCGGCCTTTCGCTTCGGTCACTCTCTGGTGCAGTCGTCTATGGTTCGCTTCGATCGCTTCCACAGGCCCATGGCTAATAGTATGACATTTTTTTATAATAATATTACATGGTTGATATAAAGAAAAAACACATTATTGTGCAGTTCTGTCTTCCTTAATGCTATATAAGACAGCAGTTAACTCAACGTGAGTTCTATCTAGATTTATGTATGAAATAGTTATGCCTTAAAACTAAAATAGCTATTTTTGTAAGGAAACCCCTTTATAGATACGTAAATAGTTAAATAGTATTTATTTTTCACAAAACAATAGATGTCTCCCTCCACGAAGAACATTCGAACCCTGCCAACATCTGGAGCATGGGCGCCGTAGACCGCCTTCTTCTGGGCATGATGAACCAGCCGATACAAAAACGAGACGAGTTTATAACTGAGGAACTCACTAACCACCTATTCCAAACATCTCACTTCGACTTCGGCATGGATCTCGCAGCTATTAATATCCAGAGGGGAAGGGACCACGGCGTTCCACCTTACACTGCATGGCGAGACCCCTGTGGTTTATCCACAATCGAGAGCTTCGACCATTTGTCCAGGATTATGCCGGCGAGGGTCGTAAGGAAATTAAAGGCATTGTACCGGTTAGTTACCCGCACTCTACGCCTAAACTAAATGGCATATTTCGCCTTGAGAACTTTTACACATTCGTTTTACAGACACGTGGATGACATAGATCTTTTTACGGGAGGCATGGCTGAGAGACCGGTTATTGGAGGCCTCGTAGGACCAACTTTCGCGTGTATAATCGCCCAACAGTTCTCTAACCTCCGCAAAGGGGATAGATTCTGGTAAATATATGATAATCGCTGCTCAGAACCACGACACTTGTTTTATTTGGAATATCATGGCAATTTTCTTGCAGGTACGAAAACGGGGGAATCGAGTCCTCGTTCACGCCGGCACAGCTTCAACAAATAAGGCGTATATCACTGGCCCAAGTGCTCTGTCGGACTTTAGACACGATTGACAGTATCCAGCCGTTCGTCTTCCTCTCCCCTGAAAATCCTGACAATAACAGAATATCCTGCCTCAACAGCCTCCTAAACAACTTTGACCTCTCACCTTGGGTGGAAATTGACTCGCAGTCTAATAATAACATTAGAAAAGCTAATGACGATGTAACTACTACTACTAGACCTAAAAAGACTAAACCGACCACTGCTAAACCTATAATAACTACAAAAAAGACAAAACTGACTACCGATCACTCGGCTCTTAAGTCCGCTGATCTGACATTGGACCAAACGATGACTGACAATCAGAACGCGACTGACCAAAAGACTAACGACACTGACTCAAATTCATTGACTTTTAAAGGTATTGACGATAAACTGGACTTTAAAAACAAAAGTAAAAGATATAATGACGACATAGACACGCGCCGGGGTCCTAACAAACATACCTATAATGATAACGTACAAAACGCCCAATCGGTTATTATTAACAATTTACCACAAAGGCCAAACAGACCATACCTATCCGTGACAGAAAATATCGACAAATATACGTATCTTATAAATTATGTTCCCAGGCCAACTCAGTCTTGGCGACAGACGACTAGACGCAACCATGACAGAGACGTGGTTAAAGTTACTTACCAAACATATGACGATACCTATCGACGACCTAACAGACCTTACTATGACAGAGACCAGTTAGACAATAACTTTGAATCAAGGAATAATGCACGTATTACTGTTGACACCCAGTCATCAGCTAGGTCTAATGACGACTATATAACGACAAAACTTACAGAGAGACCATCGATTGTGACTGATAAACTGTTAAAAGCGGACGCAACGACTGAAAACCTATACAAATTACTGACTTTTGGTTACGTAGGCTCATATAAAGGGGAACATATAGACAAGAATACTAAAATAGACGTAAAAGATGACAAAATAAGTAAAGACTTTACTACCGATGACAAGAAGGAGGACGTAATGACCGACGACAGCACAAATGGTAAAATTTCTACTTTCTTCCTTTACGAGACGGCGACGAGACCTTTCAATTCCCAACGCCCTACCAGACATAATAACGACGAAGTGACACAAAATTCTAAAACAAAATACTACTACGTCGACAATGTCTTAAAGGAATACCCTGACAAAGAGAAACCAACAAAGAAAAACGGGTTAGCGCAGCGAGAGCCAATAGTTGTCAAAGACAATATGGAAGAACGATCAGTGCCTAATAAAATCGCAGCATTTGATGATACTAAATCTGAAAAAACAAGCGACAGAGGGAAAAAACCGGCAAATTCAGCTAAAACACCGTCCGTGGCGTTTCAAGTCATACCTAGTGAGAACAGGTAATGTTATTTTTAGTCACCTGTTATTTACGTATCCCAGCGATAATAAATATTAAATGTATAAAATTTTTTTAATGGTCGGAAAATTATAGTTTTAGCTTTAGGTTTTTTCAAATGATTTTCATGGATTTTTACAGTCCAACTCAATGGGCGGTTTACGACGAGAACGAAGATCTCGATGTTCCATCACATTGGATACCAGCAGTTAAGATGGATCCTCTTTCACTCCGGGAGCTGCCAAGACCTATGGACTTCACTACAAGAAGACATTTTGGAAGTCGATAACCTGCCACAACATTAACAATTAAAGTCGTTTAAGTTTTATTAAAATGTACGATTTCCGCAGTCATATTTTCACGCAAGGAGTCCTAGTGTAACAAAAATGTATCGCATTTAAGAAACTCTTATGTTTAGAGAAAACTCGTACATAATATTTCTGTCAATCACGTATTGATTGATCTCGACTTAATTTAGAAACTTACTCTCAACTTTGACTCTGACTGAGTGATTTTGGACAAATAACGACTAACTGATTCTTGACTTGACGACTCTAGACTACTTTAAGACTGACAAACTGCAAAACTATGGGCTGATTACATTCTGTACCTCTTATAATGTCGACCTCAAGATCTCATAACTGACTTACTTTACTTATTGATACTGTGACTGCATGACAATTTCTGAGTAGGATTAAAACTGACTTGCAAAGTGACTTACTACCATGACAGAGTGCTGACTATAAGATACTTTTTATATAGACGGTACAAACAGGAGTTACTACATGAATTAATAATTAATAATTGTTTTCACTAACTTGACCTCTTTACTTGACTTTATATTATTATGACTGAATTTGACAAAATAATCAACTAACAAAATTACTAGTATAAATACTGTCTATAGTTTACGCGAGTAGTACACATTTAAATAAAACACTTTAACGGTTTAAAACGCGATATATTAGTTAAACTTATTTGAAAATGATTTTTAACTTCGGCCCGACGTTTCGAATGCTTTGCAGCAGCCGTCTCCCCGTGACCACGGCTGCTGCAAAGCATCCGAAACGTCGGGCCGAAGTTAAAAATCATTTTCAAATAAGTTTAACTAATATATCGCGTTTTAAACCGTTAAAGTGTTTTATTTAAATACTAGTATAAAGATAAATATTTGAGTTATGACCAATGACTTCAAGAATTATATATTTATGTACCTACACTACTTACAAGTATTACTTAAAATACAAGTGACATTATTATGACTGATTCATTAATATTTTTGTATAAGGCAATTAAATAAGAATATTTTTATTTATTTTCAAGAATTATGCATTTTTACATAATATAAAACTACACTGAGCAATAATCATAAAAATGTAGCAGGGTCTATTCGGTTGATTTTATTGACAGATTTTCAAAATCCCACAATGATAAGTTCCTATTGTCTTCTTGTAACCTGTCTCATTTAGATTGTGCAACTTGTGAATTTAATGAGAAGATAAACAAAGAAATACTTATTTTTTAGATTCTTACTCCCAAATAAGAATACCAATTAAAAATTCCTTTTTAACTTACACATTTATTAAGTACTCTGATTACATTTGAATGATACATCACTATAAACATTCATCTTGTAATGTTGTTAACCTTATAGGAAATCTAGTAAACAATAATTTCCTTTGGTATAAAACTTTTACATATTTGAAGACGATAACATATATGATATAGCTATAGATAAGATATAACATTCATTATGTCGACTATTATAAAGCAAAGACAATAAAGAAATGTATGACTTATTCAAATAAGGTAAAAAATTATGTTGATAAATGACTAAGTACTTTGTACTATATTTAAACCATGATAACACAAACAATGTTACGCACAAACATAGCAGATCTAATAATTTCAACACTAGGAGTAAACTATTCCATTAAGATATTGTAACAGTATAAAGGAATGTACATTAATCTCTCTCTGGATAATATTGCTCTAGATTTTTACTTAGTTCTTGTGCTAGTTCCGAGGTGGATGCACAGAGGACTCTCCTTGACAAAATATCAAATGGACCCCCAGCTGGGTCTATACAGACTCCGCCAGCTTCCCGAACAATTATATCACCAGCTGCTATATCCCAAGCATGGATACCAAATTCAAAGTATGCATCACTTCCTCCCAAAGCTACATTGGCCATATTCATAGCGGCAGACCCTACAGTTCTTACACCTTGTCCCTTCTCTACTAATAAACGGAAATTGTTGAACATAATCCTAAGCCTCTCGGTGTCTCTAGATGTCCCAGCTTCGAAGGATATCAATGCTTTACCCAATTCTTTGGTTTGAGATACATGAATTTGCCTGTCATTAAGAAAGGCTCCTTTACCTTTCTTAGCTGTGAATAATAAGTCCAGTACCGGATTATAGATGATACCGGCGACACATTCTTTGTTGATAGCGAGTCCTACGGAAATACAGCTTTGAGGGTAACCATGTATAAAGTTTAATGTTCCATCGACGGGGTCAATAATCCATGTTGGGTCGTCGCTCAGCACGCACTGTCCGCCTTCAGAGACGGTCTCTTCTCCGATAAACTTATGGTCCGGAAACTTCTTCGACAAGCCGTCCATTAACGTTTTCTCCACATTTTTATCGACTTCAGTGACTAGATCGATATCACTGGACTTTTGTTCGTAAGTTTTGCAACCATTCCTAAACTCGATTATAAGGTTTCCCGCAGTTTTAACCAGGCCGAGAGCGGCTGCGAAATATTCATCGATTTCGTCGGACATTGTGCTAGTGTTTGAATGAATTTTCACACTAAAAACGTCTTGGGTTTTATTGAAAGCACAAGTTGAGAACTGATAAGTATTGAATAATACAACAATATTTAGGAAATGACTGATTTGCATATTATAAAATCAATTCGGCTTGAATCAGTGACATGACTGTATATACAATATAACTGTCACTGTCAGAATTGAGCAAGATACTGTCAGCTAGGGTTCTAAAGTAAGAATTATATGACTTGAATGGAAGGCTTTTCACCACATTTTAGATTTGTATTTGATCTCTGCATATAAGTATCGGCACTATCTTTAAAAATATCTCTATTTGTACTTTATTTTTAAAAGCATTGAAAGGATTGCCAATAATGTAAATTCAAGCTACATTATAACCTGACCTGACGAGATTGAAATAAAACAACAAATATTAAAAATCATGAAAAATTGTTTAATTGGCATACCAACTGATAACTTGTTACAACCTAAGGCCAATTTTACAATTATCAATATTGTTAATAATTAAATATAATATTTATGTAAAATATGTTTATGCTTCAATGGTTTACTTACATTTAAATTTTATATTATTAATAATTAAAAAACTTCATGATAAGAAAGAGGTCATTAAAATTAAGACTCGGGTACAGTAAACGTATAAAATGCGAAAATACAAATTGTGTTGTTATGAAATAGTGGTTAGAGTCTAGTATGGGCGTATCCACGTCGAGACCGAGGCCACAATGTATTACTAACTCTTATCTAAGGCTAAATAGAGCGGTCCTAGCGCGTACTTTTAACTACGGAGATGTAATGTAATGCAGAGATGTATCAAACAATATGCCGTCGTGGCGATGACTACTTTCCAAGTGTAAATAATTAGCGTGAACTCCGATTGTTTCGTTACGCGTTAAAGGTTTGATCGAAACAACCGGCCAAGACTCATATCGTTGACTTACTACATACACGACCGACAAAGCAAAACAAAGGGAAATTTGAAACCCACCTGGACGCGCCGGTCGCTGCATCAGCCGAGCGATTGCTATTTCCTAGTAAGTACAAAGAGAACGCGTTACGGCCGACCGACGCGTCCGTTGACTCCTTACAACTAGCTTTAATCATTTTATGGCAACTAAGCGCTCAGTGTATAGCACTGATACTTATATACATGAGGTGCAATTCGATAACATTGATTGACAATAGCGACCTCTAGGTGAAACTCAATGTCAGGTGAATAAAAAGAATATTGTCGCAACACCAGTCTTGAATGTAAATGCAACACCAAACCCTACTTTTGCCACACAATTAATACTTTTACAATTGAATTATAAAGCAATTTCATTAAATTAGTACCACGAAAGCAAGTTCCCGGTGAAACGCTCAAATGCGCATCGATTGTCCAAAATCGGAACGGCCAAATGCAGTTACGAGCAACTCAATTTCGTGGTGCAGCTACAATATCACGCAATGAGTAACAACCGATACGTCAGACCAAGTCTGCACGATGGAACTCGATATTTAGGAATGTCTCAATATTAATACTGGTTTGGGACGAACCAATTTCAGCGTTCGCGACGTCCTTTAAAATTTTTAAAAAATAGGTTTCTATTTATGGCCACCCTGAATTACTTTTACACTTGTTAAAAAATTGAGCACCAGGTCACGATTGAATCTAGTTTGGAGTGTACAAAATTTGTATAATATACTAATGCAAAGCTGTCCTAACCTTATGTACATACAATTGTTATCCCTTCTATACTAAATTAGTATAATATATAACATTACATTAGTATTCCGCCGCTTGTCTTCTAAACTATTCCGTTCCATAGTCTACAGCAAGCGGAGACGTTAGTGGGGCAATTTCAATCGTAGATACAAAGGTTCCCGGTTTACTTATATTAAGCTCACATACAGTATTCGTTAGTCGCGGACGAACGATCACAATCGAGACGAGCGACAGATATCCACGTAATAAATATTTTAACCTAAACACTTTAACTTCGTTCGTAATCGACTGTTGTTCGGGCAGATGTAGAAATCGCTATAACAATTTTTAATGAGAACACAAGAATAACAATTTAAAGACGCAACAATAACTTATGTGTCCTGGGTGACGGCGCACGATTGGCATGCGCCGTCACTCAGCACATGGGTTTCATGTGAGAACGTCGCTCGTCAAATCCCCAAACGTTCAATCTACTCCAGGCTGTTGGCGGTATCGTTGACGTCGTCGAAGGATTCGTCGCCGGAAGCGTGACCCGGGGCGAGGGAGGACCTCTTCACCCGGGTGGACGAGGATGCCCCAGACAGTCCAATGGCACCGCCGCCTTGCCTTCTGGAACAGAATGCGGCGCTTTAGAAATACAATAGACATACAAAATTATTGGCCATAATCGTATACAGACAGACGATAATTCAACACAACGAGACATTCAAGTGTGTCTAATGTTAAGCTATTGTTTTTAAAAAACATGTAAAGAAGGCACGGCTATAAATTATTTAATATGATAATGAAACTAAGATGCTCAATAACAACACATGATTGCAATTTTTATGTCATTATTGAAGTTTTGGTACAAATTAGCGATGTTGTTTATTTTGTACTAGTTTAGATGTAGTAGTAGTAGTAGATGTGTAGGACGAGCGGAAGTGTAGTAGTACTTATCATTAGTGACAAATGCGTTTAAAATATTTCTTAAGTTAACACATATTATTGCCTAACAAATGTTAATGTAAAGTATGAAAACGAACAAAACATAAGCCAATTCGTGCCTACCCAACGGTTACAAGATTACACACAAACATACAATACATCGCCTTCAGTAACCGTTAAAAGCCAAACTACTTGCACTGCAATATGTACAGTGCCAATATGTCTTTGATGTCCTCGCACCGACTTTACCTCACATTCGTAGGCCGCTAGTCACTATCCTCAGGCACCGTAGGCCTACACAATTATGCACACATTTAAAGTCCTCTCCGATATAGTCATATCACATGAAAATAGGGTATAGAAAATAAATGTAGAGGAAAGTAAAGTATTTCTCTGTACAAGATAGATACTAGCTATAATACACATCCGTCACATTACCTAAGCTTGTTCCGGAGGTTGGAGCACTCCCTGGCGAGGGTCTCGTGCGTCTCGAGCAGGTCTTCGAGCTCCCTTTGCGCCTTGCGCTTGCCGACCTTCTCCCTCTGTACCTCTTCCTCGGACTCGTCCAGTTGCCGCTTCAAAGCCTTCACTCGGTTGTTCATCTGGAAAGTAGATTCATGATTATTAATGTCGGTTGCTATGTAAATATTTTAAACTAGCTGTATTCGCTACTCCGATCACTCCGTCAATTCGAATCGGTGGTTCTTGAGATTAGCGCGTTCAAACAAACAAACTCTTGAGTTTCGTTTCGTCTATTTCTCATACACAATAAAAAGTAAATATTACCTTCTCGATTTGCTCCTTGTACTGGTCGGCGTGCCTCCTCTCCTCGTCGAGCTGCAGCGCGAGTTCTTTCATCTTCTTATCGAGCTTCCGCGAGGCTTTCTGTTGCGCGAGACGCTCGCGACTTTCCACCTCCAGCTGTTCCTCGAGGTTTGCCACTTTCAGTTCCAGCGAGGTAATCACGCCCTGAAACAGTTACACAAACATTTAAAACCACGTAAATGAAATTAAAAGTACATATCATCAAAATTACATGCAAAAATGTTTATTTGTTGGATTCCAGAAAAGAAGGATAAGATTAGGCTTTGTAAATAATATTTTTTACTATATTATATTCACTTGAACAATCTATCAACCTTCAAGCCGAACCATCTATTTGTTACTTATTTAGTCAATCTTCAGCTACTCTATGCTTCTATGCTCATGCTTTATCAACTAATTAATATTAGGGTTTTCTTCTGAAATATATTGCTTAACGAAACAAATGCTTACGCATATACCGCAATATTGTAAAACGCATATACCTTGGTCTTAGCGCGTCCAGCCGTCTCTAGCTCTGCAAGCTTAGCTTTGAGCTCCTTGTTCTGCCTCTCGAGCACCAGCTTACCGCTCTCCAACTTTTGCGTGGCTGATTTCTCTGTACCTAGCTCCAGCGTCAACTGCTCGATTTGATTCTAAAACATTTACAAAAGTAATTAGAAAACAAGTTCTAATGAATTAATTTAACTTCTAGCATCGCGGTGTCGAGTTCAATGTACCATTGCCATAACATTCATCCTATCGGCCGACCATCATAAGAAGTTTATTTATATGTGTAAAATTAAATAGGTCATGCTAAAGAAACGCACCTGAGATTTCCTCAGTCTGTCATTGAGTATCTCGTTATTAGATTGCTCCTCATCCAAGTCCTCCTCGAGGGCCGCTATCCTTGCCTCCAGGCGTTTCTTCTCGTCGACTAGCAATGTAACCTGTGAACAATAATTTACATAGAAATGTGGAATATATTTGGGGTGAAACGTTTTAAATATCGATATACTTAACAAAGGACAATTCTATTTTTTTGTAATACAGAAGTGTAATTAGTTTGCCCCTCACGACGTCATCCACTCAGTCGTTTTACCAAGCTCTCTACAATATGAGAGCTGGCAAATGGTTAAGATGATTTAAAGAAATATGCAACTACCTTAGCAGCGGCGGCAGTGAGCTCATCATCTCTGTCATCTCTCTCGCACTCAGCGTGTCGTCTCGCTCGCTCAGCGGCAGCCAGTTCCTCAGCGTGCTGCAAAGCTTCGGCTTCCAGCGCCTTGACCCTGCGCTCGGCCTCCCGGGCCATAGTAGCCAGCTCTTCTCGACCTGCGCGGGCCTCTTCAGCCTCGCGTACAGCCTCCTTCAGCTGAACGGTTAGCTTTTTGGCTTGTTTTACTGCGTCTTCTTTTACCTGCAGGTATCAATATTATATGCTATAAGAGTAAAACAATCGAATCGCAGTAGTAAGGTAAATGTGTGAAATGGCTTATGTAAGTTAACATTCAATCTATTTAACGTATAGAGAATGATCATAACTTGAATGCCTGGAAGAATTTTTCGTTTGCCTGTATAAAAATAAAGTGGTTTTACGATGGATATATTATTTCTAAAAAAACACTTTAACCCCCAATAATTTTTTTTTACTTTATAATTTTTTTTTATATTAATTTTACATTCAATTAATGGGTATTATTTGAGTAATAAAAGAATATTATTTTTATAATAATTTAAGTTTGACATACTAATGTTATAAATTTAACTAATTCAACTCAATACGAACGAACATTTCTCGAAATATCTAAAAGCATTTAAGACGTTTCTACCTTGTTAGCGAGATGCAACGCTTGTTCGGCGTCCTTGAGATCGCCTTCCAGCTTCTTGCGAAGCGTAAGCGCAGCCGCTCGTTGCTTCCGTTCTTCTTCCAACTCCCCTTCTAGATCACGCAGTTGCTTAACAATACCGCGGCGTTTTTCTTCGCCTTGTTCCTCTTTCGCCTGAAAATATGAATGAGAGATAATTGTATATGATGTACAGACAGAATAATTACCGTTTTATTAAGTTATTATCCACAGATCACTTACATTCTACTAAACTAAGATGTTATACCTATCTAATGACGGAAGAACACATCATTGTCAATTAATTAGTATTTAAAAAGATGAAAGAGATTTAGTTCAGTTTCGTTGAGGTGGTGTCGTGATTCTCTGATATTTCAGTCGGAAACAAAAATAATATTTATTTTTTATCTCTGTACCTGTAGATCTCTTTCAAACTGCGCCCTCATCGCCTGCATGTTGACTTCGAGGCGCAGTTTAGCATCCTCGGTGAGCTGCAGGTCGTCTTCGATCTCCTCATTCTGGGCCTTCAGCTCAGCGAGCTGGGACTCCAGAGCCCGTTTGGCCTTCTCCAGTTCGTGCACGTTCTTGTCGGCGGTGCCTTGGGTGTTGGCCAGTTCGTCTAACTCCGATTGAAGCAGGCGCTTAGAACGTTCCAATTCTTCGATCTACAGTAATAGTTGAACAGTTAAGATATATTCGGCACTTTAATCGCCTATATTCAGAAAAGGATAAATTCCAAATTGAGTTAAAAAAATAGATGTATAAAAAGCAAAAGAAAAGATAAGGTAAAACAAAAGAAAGAGAGAGAGAAGTTACAGGCCGAGTAGTTCGATACAGACTTTCATCATTAATTTCTATTAAGTTCCAGCTTCTCTGTCTTTGGTTTGCTACAATCGAAAAAAAATGCAACTGCAGGACAGGAATACCTTTTCAGCGGCATCGTCGAGTTCCCGAGTTAGACTGAGCACTCGAGTTTCCTTATCACGAGCATCTCTTTCGGCTGCGTCGCGTTCAGCTGCGTAGCGTTCAGCTACACTACGTTCCTCAGCAACAACCTTAAAATAATATATATGTAAATTAGTCCATATACATTAAAAGTATATATTGTTATTGTGCCAACAACAATTTAGTTGATATGAGTTTAAACATGAACATTATGAAAGTATTGACATTTCCTATTAGATATTTGCCATTGTCTATGGTGAATGCGTGTTAAGTATATTCTTTATTTCTACTACGAGTATTTTATTAAAAACTGTCTGGATCTTAGTGACAACTTCTCTTAAGCTACTAAATCGTCACCTTGTCAAAGCTCTTCTGTTTCTTCTCGAGTTCCAGCACCTTGGCGCGCTGAGCTTCGAGTTCTATATTCGTGTCTTCTAACTCCGCTTGAATCTTCTTTTTACCTAAATAAACAAAAAATATTTCATTATAATACAAATATTAAAGAGATAAAAATTGTAGGATATAAGTGGTTTATTAAGTCAGCTAAATCTTGTCACTCATTGTTATTTATGAACGTACGATATTACTTGGAGTACTTTTTACCGAATCAAATGCAACACTTCATAAGCGTGAATTAACTCACTCTTGTCTAATTTATCGTTCGCTTGGCGCAACTCATCGAGCTGTCTGTGCAGAGCTTCAATGTCCTTGCTCAGCTTCTTGCGTTGTTCTTCTAAAGCGGCAGCCGCTTCCGCTTCTTCTTCTGCTTTCTTCTTTGCGTCGGCGACTTGCTGGGTTAGTGCTGTCACCTGTGTGATAACAATCCCTTTAATACAAACTTTCCTAACACAACTTATGGCTATTATTCCAAACTCCAACAGTTGATCAAATTATGTTTGCACTAATTTTACAATTAAAGAAATTTAGCACGAATTTGAAACTGATAAGTTTTGTTGTTTTTTAATTAAAAACACTTTCGGAGATTGTCTCTAAGAAGTCCTATTTTAGTGACAAAAAAGCCGTAAAAGGACAAGTGGTTTGGTTATGTCTACTGACCTGTTTCTCAAAGTTCCTCTTCGCCTCTTCCTCCTCCTCGAGCTGATCTCGCGCCTGTTCCAGCTGCTGTTCAACATTTCGCAACCGCGTTTGAAGGGCGAGCTTCTGTTTCGTCTCTTCTTCCAAAAGAGCCTAGAACAGATTGAGTTATGTTCAGTAAAAATCAGCTTAAATTGTATGTCATAATACATATATAAAAATAAATAAATAAACGATAATGACGGTCTTTTATATGCGCACACGCTAGCTAGAGTTATATTTATACAGTGGAAACAGTCACATGACTAATTACATAAAAATAGTACTTATTCAATCATGCCTCATTACTGTATACGAACGCAGCTATTATTCTTCTTAGACACAAAACACAAACCTGGGCTTCAGCATGTTGTGCACCAGCGGTGGCCGCGTGTTTGGCAGCAGCAGAGGCTTTGAGCTCCGCTTGCTCCAACTGTTGAAGAGCTTGTTCCGCTTCGCTTTGCAACCGGATGCACTTCTCTGACACCTCAGACCTGGGTGTTGTGAAAAAATACGTCAGGTTAAACAACGCTGTTTTTCAATGTCCGTGTATTACATATTAACATTCAGGTGCAAAAAATTTACAAGAGTGATTAGTATTTATAAATTCTTTTAAAAATCTAAATTATTGTATTACTTATAATAATGTTTATGATTAATAATACAACAATTTTGGTTAGAATACATTTTAAATTAATAAAGGCTAATTGCAAGGTGATAAAGTGTGTCTCACTCTGTGGATATTTGTGTCGTGTATTTTAAACTGACCTAGCCCTTTCGACCTCTTGTAATTTGGCAGCCAGCTCCTGCAATTGTGCCTCGGCCTGTTTCCTGCGCCTCTCGCCATCTGCGCGCGCGGCGGCTGCGCTCTTCAACTCGGTTGCCAAGTCGGCGTTCTCCGCTTCCAACTGCTGCTTTGCTTTTTCAAGAGCTAAAATGGAGAATTAGAAATATTGGAAATGAATACTGCTGTGTTCACGTAAGTTGCAGGCTCAACAAAAGGAAAATATAGGTACAACGAGCGTAGAATATTCTGTGTTAAGAATATCGTTAACATAAAGCCCCTATGTTCAAAGGGACACTTCCAAAGACACTAACACCTGCACTGCCCAGAAAAATCTTGTCTATTATCGATCGGCGCCTCCTTGCACATATGCTGCCAATAGTCCCGGGTGGAACTGAACCGGATACCCTCGTCGCACGGGCACAAATTTTCAATCTCATAGTTATCATCTTTAGATAGACCGAACTTCACATTCTTCTGTCTACGTTCTTTGTTAGCCATTGTATAAAAATAAAATTACATTCAAAATTTACGGTAAACGATGCATAAAGTTTTGTATTTGATTTTCTAAAGTTTGCTGATTTATGTCAAGTGTGACGTTATGGATGTTTGAAATAAGAAATTATTCTTGATGGCCAGAAATAAATTGCGGCATCTTATACAGTGGTGCGCAGACAAGAAAGTTTTTGCTTTTGGCAGAATAAACAGGAAACAATATTTATCTCCAATCCTTTTTTAAGGATGTAAAGGTCTTTTTTGTTGTTATCGTTTAAACTAAGAAAAGTAAATAAAAAATATAAATCTGAACATGTAAATGTCCACCGAAACAAACGTTCACCCCCGTGTAATATAAGTATATGATTTTTTAAAAGTATAAACTACATATTTCAGAGTACTTACCAGCTTTCGTCTTTTTAATCTGCTCGTGCTGCTCGTTGAGGAGCTGCAACTCTTGCGAGTGCTTGTGTCGCTGATCGGCGATGGTCGCCTCGTGGGAAGTGGCTTCTTCCTCCAGACTCCTCTTCAGAACGGCCACCTCTTGCTCACGTTTGGAACGGAGCTCTTGTTGGGCTTAAAATATTGAATACGTAAGGTAAGATTATCTCCTCTTAAGGATTTGGCAGATTTAAACAGGTATCGTTTATATTCTGCGAATGGCAAAAATGGTTAACAAAATAACATATCACGAAAGCGTATTTAACTTTTAAATGTATTTTGCAATTTGGAATTTTATTGTGTAATAAAAAAAATAACAATAAGGTTAGAGCGAGAACAGTGCACCGTGCTGTTTCTCTGCAAACTGAGTTACAGTGTCACGCCTGTCGTTATGATAATTTCAAACGGCCGATAAATAGCAAGAGTTTTCATAAACTCACCAGCCGTAGTATCCAGTGAGTCGAGCAATTCGCTCTTGAGCGCTTCCAACTCTTCATTCAAATCTCTCCTGAGCTTCTCGGCCTTAGTCCTAGCGTTCCTCTCTGCTTCCAGGTCATCGTGCGCCTCCGCGAGGGCGGCTTCCGCTTCTCTGGCCGCCTTCTGCGCAGACGCGCGTAATGCACTCTCTTCGTCGGCGCGACTGATAGCGGCCGCTAGTTCCTCTTCGCGTTTAGCTGTAAAATTAAATTATTAGATATGAGTACATAGTACGTAAATAAACCTACTACTTCAGTGAAATAGTATGAATTATGTCTGATGAAGACACAGAAGCTTAGACCAAAACAAACCATTATATATCCACACACAGTAGGACAATACATAATGATCTAACTACAAAAATATGTGATAGAATTTACTTTAACTGGTACTTACTAAGTACAATCTGCAATTCCTCGATTTGAGCCTTCTTCTCGACAAGTTGTTCCTTGACATCCTGGAGCTCAGTCTCAATCTTCCGCTTAGCTCTTTCTACTTCTTGCCTCAGTTGGTGATCCTATTAATAGACAATTAGACATTTTAATGATATCCAACACTCAAACACATATAAATATTAATTTCGGAACTAAAATAGAAATTTGTAAAAATCAGACACATTTAATGAAAATTAATAAACACAGTACAATAGGAATATAACATTCAATTTTATTTTACATGGACCACTATGGCGATGCTACGTATTTTTAATTTCAGCTTACCTTAAGTAATTTCTCCTCTAGTTCAGCAATGGCAGACTCCTGTTTGGTCTTGAGTTTACTGAGATGTTTCGCCTTCTCCTCTTCTTCGGCCAGCGCTTGGAACAAGTCGTTAGCCCGTTCTTCTAATAACTGAAATGCAAAATATAAGCTTTGTGTATAAATGTAATCTGAGGTCACGCAAATTTTAAACCAATTTGAGGCATTAGTTTTACGTTAATTCAAATGCTGAAGGAAATTTTCTATTTACCTAATATGAGAAAATGGAAATATCTTATACCTTTTTCTCCTTAGTGAGTTTCTGGTTAGTGTCCTCAGTGAGAGCGAGGTCCTCCTCTAACTTCTTCAGTTTTGCGTCGCACTGGACACGCTCAAGCTGCAACTTCTGGCGCGCGGCCTCTTCTTCTTCTAACTGCTCTTCTAAGTCCTGCACCATACAATTATATTAGATAATTATTTAAACCTTCCTATTAATGCTAAATATTTAAGAGATAAGCCAATAGCATATTATAGCTTACAATTCCTTGTCCATTAGGCTAATAAGCATTAAATCCATTTAACCTGTATATTAAGCTGGAGCCGCTTCTTTTCTTGCTGTAGAGCGTTGCACCGCTCTTCCTCTTCTTCTATACGGCCTTCCAAGTCGTGCAAAAGTTCCTCCAACTCTTGTTTCCTAGCAGCTGCGCGTGCTCGACTTTCTTCAGCTTCGGCGCATAATTCCAACTCAGCCTGAAAATAAATAGATATATTTATTTGCTAATAATTTACCCATTAAGCGATTGATAAGAACTTTGTCGTAATAAGCCTTTTATACAAACGTGGAATGATATTTAAAAGAAGTTACCTGCAGCTGTTCTGCAAGTTGTGTCTTCTCAGCGCTAGCCTGCTGGTACTTGGCTTCAAACTCTTGGCACCTCTTCAACTGTGTGTCCAGTTTGTCACGGATCTGTTTAAGCTCGTCCTCCTTTTGCGTTAACTTCTCCTCTTGTTTGGTAACTTCCAGCAAGGGTTTTACCTACAATAACCATTAAGAAGTATTAAAAGATGACTAATATAGAATACCATGTATTTTCATTAAATGTAGTCACTATATTTAATATACAGCCATACATATTGCCTTACCTTTGTGTACAATCTCCACCATTGCCAATTTCTCAGCTTCAAGTATGCAGCACAATTCCTTTGGATAATTCTAATGGCGTTGAGCTGCTGCAGTCTTTTCTGGTAGTTTCTCCTAGCCAGGTAACCTCTGCAGAACGCTTGGAAGTTTACGATCAAGTCGGTTATCTTGTAATCTCTCTCCTCTTCTAAATGCGCGAGCACTCCAGCTCTGAAGAATATCTTCGACTGACCTACGCGGTACAAATTGTGATCGAGCTCGAGAGCTTCGATCATACGCTCGCACGCCTTCTTTCCGTCCATGAAACCTTTAGGAATTATATTCGGCGTCAGGAGTTCGTATCTCTGTCTGAATTCCTGGAAGGGTATTCTGTTGGGGAATCCCTGTCTACAGATTCTGATACCTTCTAACACACCATTGCACCTGAGCTGATCTAGCACTAGCGGCGCTTCGATTTTGCCCGCCTTCTTTTCGTGATTCGGAATAATACATCGGACGAAGTTCGGGTTCGTATTTCTTAAGGTGGCCATCAATTTCGTGAGCTGTTCCTTGTACAACTGTGAGACCGTTCTGAACATTCCCTTTCTCGTTCTAGCACCGAATTGTGTGTCTGTCATCGCCTGCTGGGCCATACCGACAATTTCCGCATCCTTCCAAATGTGGCATACGAAGGGATCCTGTGAAGACTGAAGCAACGATACTACGTTTTCGTTTAAGGGATCCATATTCTTCATGAGCCACTTCGCCGCCGAGTAGTCCACTTTGCCGGCGTAGTGGATAATAGCAAAGTCTGCCACTCCACGGAAGTCGGTCTTCATGAATTTGGGATGCACAGAGTGAGCGGAAACCAACTTCTCTACAAATGTTTTATCTGTGGCCTTCGGGAACCAACATTCTTCGTCTAAGAGAGCCATTATTCCCATAGGTTTGTCTATAAGATCAATCGTCGGCTGCAAGTCTAGGCCGAAGTCGATGAATTTCCATTCAATACCTTCTCGTTGATATTCCTCTTGTTCCAATATGAACATAGTGTGGTTGAAGAGTTGTTGGAGTTTTTCGTTAGTGTAGTTAATACACAATTGCTCAAAGGAGTTAAGCTCAAAGATTTCAAAACCAGCCATATCGAGAATACCGATAAAAGAGGCTCCCTGTCTCTTGGTCCTGTCTAGAGACCTGTTAATTCTATTAACGAGCCATCTGAAGAGCCTTTCGTAGCATGCTTTACTGATAGCTTCAACCGAGAACTCGACTTGCTCCTTTGTTTGTGCTTTCGTTACAAAATCACGACCCACTTTTATTCTAGGCTTCAAGAATGCTTTGGTCATGTCTGTCACGGAGAGACCTGAAAAACAGAGAGTATAACGTTACTTTAAATAAATAAAACAATTTACAATAGTGATATGTTGTCTTGTCGTTTTTGGCTAAGCGGAAGAAGACACTTACCAAGCAAATGTGCGATTTTTTGCGCTACGGTATTATCCGGTAGTGTCGCCTGATCTGAATTCCTCTCTTGCTTGAATTGCATAGAACCGAACAAGAGAACAGCGGAGACAATTTTGAATATCGAATTGAAGTCTTCCTGATTCATGCCCATAATATTCATGGATTTAATCGTCGCTTGGAATTCAGCGGCGTCATCGATGCCCGGTACAGGTAACGCTCCATTTGTGAGGAAGAAGTAGGTTTTGGGGTCTTCTAGAATGTACTCGGCCCGTTGCTGCGGAGTGGCACCTGACAGAAGCTGGTAGAAGATGTGGAATGTCCTCTCGTCTTTCGCTTGTCTGATAGCTCTCGACTTCTCTAATAAATACGTTTCAATATTTGCTCCGGCGATGAAACCAGATGCGTCGAAATTAATTCTTATGAATTTACCCTATAGAGAAATATTTAATCAGAATAAATTTTATACGAAATCGCATATAGCTATATTATTACAGTAATACTCACAAAACGCGACGAATTGTCGTTCTTCACTGTTTTGGCGTTACCGAAAGCTTCTAAAATTGGGTTCGCTTGGAGCAGCTGTTGTTCTAGTTCGCCCTGTGTATAAACATAATGTTTAACGAAATCCAATCAGTAGGATACATTGCAAATAAGCGACTATAATGTTGATATAGGCAAAAGGCAAAGGCTTCACATCTAATGAAATTTCCAATTCGGCCGAGGCCCATACTCGAGCAATAAACAAGCAACTCTATACGTTAGTATACATGACAGACACGAAAGCCGTTAATAGAACAACACGAACGAGATCCGCTTTATTTACCTCAAAGGTCGGTCCATTGCTCTTAGCAGCGTGAAATTATGATGCATGTTAGAGGGTATGATAGATAGCAAATACTCTAGTAGTCCCTATTGACTATTTACTTGAACAGGTTCACAAATCTGCGCAAGACTGGCTTCAAGTCTTGAATCAAGCATTTCTTTGACAAAGCTCAAGTCGTTTGTCGACTCTAAAAGTTTTCATTTGGAATCTAATATTAATCAGATTTGTGAATTCAGCCCCGTTTTACGGCGCTAAAGTGTAAATAACATATAGGTTTCCCAAAATCAAGACTAATGAAAATATTTGCACATGCGTATATATCCTCGTTTCGCTTGTTAGAACGCATGCGTGATTAAATAAAATTGTATTCCTGATGCAGTATGAAATCCATGCTTTTGAAAATGCATATGTATAGCGTGCATTAAGCATTCTTAGAAATATTTCAAGCCTTAGATAATTACAGATAATAAAATGAAGAGGTCCCAAACCATATTAGGTTAATATTAAGCCCAAACCTACGAAAGAAATTCTAATTGTAATTGGAATCGACAAATTAGGATTTCCTTCGTAAAACGCCCAAAAAGTCGTAATAGAATAAGAAACTTACTATGATCAATTGCGGTGTCGGGCCCTGCAGATCGATTGGCAGACCACGAGGAGTGAAAAAGAAAAGTATATTAGGTAGGTGTATGTGCTTATATCATGTGATCTTCTACGATTTACTGTAAATGCTGTATGTTCGGTTGCAGCCGGAAAACAATGTTCCGAATGCAACCGAAACATGTAACATTAGCAAATTGCGAATAATAAATTTGGAGGAGGCATGTGTGCTACCGGCTTTTTTAATAAGTGGCGATCACGAGAGCATAACAAGTAACACACCTGAATTACGTAATAGCTCCACATAGCCATATAAGGAGGGCGAAATATGCCACCTCAGTTTCATGCATTTGTGCGTCAGATGCAAATTTACATTGCATTATTTAAATGCCATTGGGAATTAAACCGTAATAATTCGATTTTAAAGAAGATTGTTGCGTAATTTTACGACACGAAATACTTAAAATCTAAATCTAGCAAGTACAAAATTGAACGAACTGAATTCCCCTAGCAACTACTCTAGCAGAGTGTTTCTGCTACGAATTTGTTTCACAGTTTACTAGAACATGAAATTACACGGCCATTCTTTATGGAACTAATTTAGATTGATAGTCATTTAAATTTAGGCCCGGAGCATTCAACAGCATCTTATGAAATTACATATCTCAAAAATAATATTTATGTACTTCTTCGTTTGCTACTAAGCAAACTAAGAAACGATCGATGGGCTGATCGATATTTATATGTAATATAATTGTTACATGACCGTCAATATTTACCTTGAATCATCAAAGTTATAAAATGTAATACCAAAATACGCTAGCTTCCTAAGTGTCGTAATGAATTTGCGATAAGGGAGCCATTAGCGTACAACAAGGTAGAGGTTATCTCTTACCCGCATACGGTAATCGAACCAGTAACTGTGTATGCGCTTTGGAACAGAAAATTAATTAAAGTATGACCTTCGCTGATACATAGAACGTATGAGACGAAACCGACATAACATAGACATTGCAGTCGACTTACCGCTCCGGATCCTTTGGGTTTTGAAGCAGCCACATATGCGAGGTACTGTATAACCTTTTTTGTGTTCTCGGTCTTACCGGCGCCGGACTCTCCCGTGCATAGAATAGATTGGTCTTCGCGATCTGAAGTTGAGAGAAGACAATTTAGAATGACATTTAAAAGAAAGAGTTATAATAATCCCCCAATATTAGGGTACCCACATAACAATCACAAATCATATTGTAAACTCAGCCTTCGCAAGAGCACCTTAGCGACGACAATTTTCCTCGTATTTCAATTAAAATTTTCCGCTGCTGCCCTTACGTTATGAGATAGTACGTTTACAATGAAATGTATTTAGGTTAACGCCTTATAAGAATCGTGTAAGATACTTGAAGTGGCCACTTTTTACGAGGTTATTCGAGGCCACTATACGAATGATTTTTCGTTGTCCTGAATTATTTTGTCTCTCTATAACATTTTTTTTATTACTTTACTTAAATAAATTTTTGTAATGGTGCGAATATTTTTCTAGATTTTTATAACCAGACTGTCGATCGATATCCATTTTTTATGCGATATAAATATTCTATTCGTTGGTTAGTTTCTCTATTTTACTTGTTTAATGAAATTCCATTGAGAAAATAGAAATCGATTTACTACGATCCATGTTTTGTAACCTAGTGTAATAATTCAAACTATGACTGCGAACGAGACGACCTTTTCCCTTCAATCTTCCGTCGCAGTTACGAGAATTACGTAAGGAAAATATGGAAACGGGATAAATGATTCAATCTGTAAAAATAGAATCGGTTCGACGTCAATCATTCGAGCGATCGACAAATGTGAAACATTGCATCATAAATATCCATATGAATAGGTCGCGGTGGGCAAAAAACTTGACGCGTTATTGTAACATAAAAAGGGCGCGGCTCAGGTGCAGCGCGCCCCGACGCCATTAACGGACAATTAGACAAATGGTTCCACTCGCTTATCTACGTTTCTGGCCTCCGCGTTGCCTGCATGTTTTTGAGGCATGTGTCTGTGTTTTTTTGAGGCAGAAAATAAATAAATCTCAAACTTAATCCTGGCCAATAGCCTATGCACGCTTTCGTGTATCGAGACTCGTTGCAGGTGCCATACCCAAGAATAGTAATGAGCAGAGCACAGTCCTTGCTCATTAATTGTCATTAGATTCACAACTCGATGCAAACGAACGTCATTTAATCTAATTGATTTATATGGCAGCCAAATGAATATTCAACGAGAGCTCGGCACTATTGAAGATGTAAAAAGCACTTGTAGATGTAAGACTTCATTTGCTCTTGTATACATAGTAGATAATTTGTCCTTTTTTCCATTGAATTAAATGGTTTTTTTATTGTGCATATAAGGCTGGCTCTCAGGTGTCTATGCGAATGCACCGTGCTATTATTATTTTTTTTTAATTCAGCAACCATTACAACACAATAATTATTAAAATTAAGTTTTCGTATTGTTTTGTATAGTATACAATATATTTACTTATTATTATATTGCTGTCGAATTTAATTTTATCTGTAATGAATGGCAGGATTGTGTGCGAAAATAAAAATAAAGACATTAAGTCTTAGTTCATATCATTTTTGTTTGCTATGTTAATGCAAGAAAATTGGAGAAGACACATTTTTGTGAGCCTGTTTAACCAATTGGTGCATATACGTTTGTGCCCTGCCCGTCCGAAACGGTCGAAATGACATTTACCTTGCAGCATAGAGCGATAGGCCGTGTCGGTGATAGCGAAGACGTGTGGCGGGACCTCGTGCCTCTTGATGCCTTTGTACCTCTCCATGATCTTCTCCGTGTAGATCGGCAGCTTCTTGTACGGGTTTACCACCACGCAGAAGAGCCCCGAGTATGTCTGAAAAAATTAATATTGGTCAAATTGATTTGAATATACCGAATAGGATCTTTTGAATGTATATATGAATTTATAACCATCTTTATTAATTCTTCATCATTATCTAGTCGCTGTTTCCTTTAAATTTTTAGCTTAAGTCTTAGTGAAATGTTAATAACTATTTTAAAAACATATTTTTTGAAACTATGGTATATAAATACAACTCAAAATAAGTAATTATTAATAGATACAGCCGACTGTGAAACGATAAAACATTTCTTATAAACGATGCTCTATCTCAATGCAAAAAGAATGTCTTACAAATTTTTATAGGTAACCTTTATCATTTAAATTGTTATCAGTTACACGTTTGTACACAAAATAGGCTATTGGTGCATTCCTCGCTATTAATATCACTATGTATTGATATACCTCGCTTCGATTCAATTACGGCCTATTATTATTTGTATAAATGACCGCCTCTGTACAATCGATTCTTTCGGTCGGCCAAGGCAGAAGTCTGATTAACTACTTGACTGGAAATAAATCCGATCAGTGAAACAGACACAGGAATGTGTTTGTTTCATGCCCAACGGGGGATACAGGATTTTACTACCTTATTTGTATTATTTATAGGTAGTATTTCTTTTTTTTTGTTTGACCTGATAAAATCCCTTAAAAGAAGTGTCCTCGGGAACCGAAAATAAGTGTTGATAGCAACAAAACAAACATGAATTAACTTTAATGGAACTCTCAAGAGCCACGATGTGGTCAATGATCGTGACGAAACACGATGATGGATGATGGGCCATTTATTAATGACGACATCTCGATATCCTACATTGCTAGACTCACGTACACCGTGGAAACGTATTGATAACTTTATTTTCATAATAGGAATGAGATTTATTGGGTGGAAGGTAAACTGCCTCGGCCGACTAGGATTTTAATAGGACAGTGGCAAGTGTAAATAATTATAAGGTTGGGACTGAAATTCAATTATCATTCAGTTCGACCGATATGGGCAGACTAAACTTAGTATTTTCAAGTAATAGGCATTAATAACTGTGTTATAATTTTAAAAATAAATATGCGTAGGCAATTTGAAGTAGAAATTGTTTTTAGGTCGATAGAAGTCCGATTATTCTTGTCTTACCTAGTAGTTTCGTGATTGAAATTTTAGTGTGTGAGGCAATCTTATCATTGGGACCAAATGGTTAGGGTGAAAATCACATTAAGCTTAACTCTGACAGTATTTCGTTAAACCCCATTCTAGTAAATACGTATATGTTTTATTTCAGTAAACATGTTTATAGATCTTTTCAATCATAGGTCTAACTGGCCACAGATTAAAAAGCAGTAAAACATAATGCAAACAAGCAATTAATACAAGTAACTGTAAATCTACTAATTGGTAAAGTCGTAAAACTTGAACAAGTTGGAAACGTTAATAAAATATGTCGTTATGATTTAAAATAATATTAAGATAGACGAAAAAAGACAAAATAATGTTGTGAGATTATTATAAACTTTATTACAGAATTTTTACAAACTTTAAAACAGAGGAATTATCACTTGTTTAACATTTTGTGATTAACTAATTATTATAAATATCTATCTCTGATTAAGCCGTTAAGATTCTTTAAATATTAGCAAGACCGTCAATATAGTTAAAGGACATAAATGGACAAACATAAATATTAAAAAAACCGTATGTATCAATAAATACTGGTAATTCTAATCATTGAACACTCGGCGACATCAAAGGTTCGCCGATAGCTTATCACAGTAATAAAGAGGGCACTTGTGCTGTGAATCAATTTGCGCAGTGACCTCAGGCTTAGAGGGCGCTGCAGAAACGAAGATAGTATTCATCTGTCCAATACGAACCTCGAATTTTTCGAAGAAAATATTTAATTTTCACCAACAAGTTGTAAGCAACTGGTTGCAACATAAAATGACAAAATAATGATACAATTAGTGATCAAAAGCTAGACGACTTAAAAGCAACGTGAGAATTATGTTAACACTAATACGACGGGTTTTGTAATAAAATAATAACTAAAAATATTTGTAACACTAATCTTAGCAATGGCTAGACCAATATCGATAAGCCTATTGCAGAACAAAATTAAACGCATTAGCTCAAAAAGTTTGCGACATACTTTCCACGCAGCGAATACCAAATTTGGATCGACCTTACTTCGTAGATCTTGAGAGTGGACCTAATACCAATCTAGTTTATACCTCTCGATAAGTATTAGGTACTGCGGAATAATGGAGTCATAATGTTTGAGTATAATTCTTAAACCTACGTTTTCGTCGAGAGTGATTCACAAAGAATTTTCGTGAGATTACTATTGCGAAGAGCTATCTTAATGAAATGACCTATTTAGTCATTATTAAGTCGATTTTGGTCGATATTACTCAATATATTAACTGTGTTTCAAGTGAATCTCGGTTTGATGGTCCCGGTTCTATTCTACGTAAATCCGTTTTCTTTCGGTAGGGTGTATCGCCGTTTTGTCATCTAGATACAGTGTGTGTAATCAGCTGTCGAGCAGAATGTGAACAAATGAAAAGCGTAACTACGTCGGGTCACGTTCGATGACTCAGGCGCAAAGAACGCAGTTGAAATAAAACGTTACCAAATACTTGGTGGCCTTATTTAAGATGATTTTATCCGGTTTCTTCGTGTTCCGTGAAACAAAATCGCGTGATCGCTTTCGTGAAGAATGACATTTGGTTATTTAATTTTTTAATGCTAATGCTACAAAAATAAAGGTGTCTTCATCACGACAATCGCTTGTGTGTGGCGGTCAGATCAGCGTCTGAGGTCATTTGTCAGCCATCTCGGTGTTATTAAAACAACAACAACAATACAATAAGAATAATTTTGAAACGGTATATCTATTAGAGACTATGCTTAATTTACAAATTAGACGAAATTTTAGTTAAATACTAATTACATTTTGTAGCCAAAGTAGATAGTAAAGTAACTTATACTTATATCTATCCATCTGCGGCACATAAGGACGAGACGAGTATTTTTTCAGTAACTTCTACTGGGAGTCAGTCGACGAGCAGAAAATTTTCCACGCCCAGTTTAGAAATAGCAGTGAGTCACGAGCAAAGCTTTCTTTAAAACTTCCAAAACCAGTTAAACGACATTAAAGTACGCGGCGATACATCCTTGACATAGTATCGCTTGACATATCCTTAAAAGGAATACATTTTTTGGCTCTAAGTAATTGACGAGGAATATGTAGTTTAAATATTTTTATTTAGTAAGATAACGTTGGAGTTTGTGTATATTGGTACTGACTGAAATAAGCAACGGGTCGTAGATTTCATCACCACGGGACCATCGAAATTCTGTCTGGGTCACGAACCTTCACCCACTGATCAGTGGATTACCGAATATCCAAGACAAGATAGGTCGATGTTTAGATGTAATACGCCTTCCATCGGGTTCGTTCTTCTTCTTGCCTATCCCTCTGTATCATAAAAAATATCCTATTACAAATATAATTAATCACATAAGAGGGCGTTAGATATTTGATTTAAAGTTTCTCCTGATTAAAACCTATACCCCTTTAAATGAAACAAGTAAATCTAGTACTTCGTAGACGGACGTGTTGTGTTTGCAATGGACACAGCGCCGCGTAGGCACGTCCCCACTACGAGCGCACGTAAACATTTCCGTAACGCTGACTCAGCGTAGCGACAGCAACGTCTTCATACGCAAGGTCGACACGAACGTTACCTATTACCTAGCACTGATAGAAGTGCCTAAAGAGTATATAATCGTGTTTTTCATCGATACAAAAATGTCCGTTTCTTGTCGGTAATACCTAAGAGACAGTAAGGAACAACCACTACTGTCCTTACTGTCTCTTAGGTATTACCGGTACATTTTTACGGTTATTGATTGTCATATGTTTTCAATTTTAATTATCAACCAGGAATAAAATAAAATATTTTAAAGATACATTTTTAGATGAATGAAGTCACTACAATCCAAAGACTACTTTGCGATACACGATTTTTACGACGAACATTTGGGTGCTAATAAAATTAAGAAAATATAAAAAAATCGAAAAAAAACAATGTTTATATTAAAACACCATATAAGCATCAACTTTACAAACATTACGTGTATGTCGGACGAGGTAATCCTTATCTCTCCTTACGTTACACCATAACACAACACCTCTATTCCTATTTGCGTAGAGTTGAAATTCGACATGACTCAATCGTGTTAAACATACGTTTGTAGCACAACACAAGATCTCCATATTTGGTTATTTTACAAACTCGCATTACTAGAGTTTATGCAACGTATAATTTACTTGTCAACGCGGTTAATTAATACAATTTTTAGCACGATATTCTTATTAAGGTCGTAAGTGGTTGTTTAGTGGTAAAGTGCACTATTACGTCTTATTTACAAGAAACGATTGACGGACGTCTTGATTGACATTCATTCTTTATTTTAACACAACTTCAACCAAATATAAAGAGATATAATATAAAAGAGTACACGTTCAAAAGATTGCTAAAACTTGAATATTTTTCACGGAACACTGTGTAATCTAAATCGATTTTTAAGCTTTGCGGTATAATAAATACTTCATAAGTAGTATGGACATATATTTATTCTATATATTTTTGATAAATGACTATTACTTACTTATAAATATGTATTTATTAGACTTGCAACGAATATTCGGTTACTATTCGGTATTCGGCCTATTCGGCTGCTTTTATTATATTCGGCCGAATACCGAATATCTACATATTATTCGGCCGAATAACGAATACCTAAATAATATATTTTGTCATAGAGAAATAATTGGTAAAATGAAAAATTAAAATCGATTGCTTACGTATATACTTATTCATATTTTTGTTTCTGTTATAATCATATAAGTAGTCATTGGTACATAATTGGTGGAACCCTCACGAGGAAAAATATATACTCATGCTAGAGAAGATCCAAAAAGCCTTTCTGCGGTTTC